ATTTGGAGAAATGCCTTTTGAATATCCCCAGTGATTGCAACAGGAAAACTTCGCGCTCTTACCAGCACTTCCCACAGCTTGTTATTTAGCGAAGGTCCCGCGTACAGGCATTCGTTTAAAGAAGGACTTTCTGGTGAAGCTTTTGCTGATGCATCGTACACCACTCTCAGTTTAGTGGACTGCGCTGACTCGCGTACGACTTCTTTGTGAGGTATGTAGAATTCATTACCTTTTGCTACGTTAGTTGCTGATTCAACTATGCCATCGTGCTTTTGGTCTTGGATTACTGCGTTGTAATCTTCAGTTAATTTCTTTCGCTGTAATCGTCGCTCTAAAGATTCCAACCTTCTGATGCTTCCTGTTTTGTTTGATGGGAGAGGTGGATGATTTCCACGCCATGGAAGACCGGTCTCGTACCAGCCCTCCGGTGATCGCGTTAATTGCTCTTTGAATTCGTTATACACCATTGATTGGTCGTGTTCAGCAGTGTCTGCTAGGCCCAGCACATCCAACCTGCAGAGATCTTCATAATCCTTCTGCGAAACTTGGGTAAGCAACATCCTTTTACTGTTTGGTTCCACACCAGGGCTCATGGCAAACCATCCGAGTTTTGTTTTTTCTGCAATTGGTTGCCCCTCAGTTCCCACTAGTGGATTCGTGCGAGTTTTTATCCGTGCATATTCCCGCTTCCCAAAACGATATGGACAGGTAATTGAGCTTTCTGATCATTATCAACAAATTTTGCATTCTTCAGGTGTTCAAACTCTCTTTGTAAGTTTTCATAGTGTGGATTGTCCACTGTGAGTAGCTCTTCTTTCTCCACCTTGATCAACTTCACCTTCATTGAATAATCACTGTCTATTGCTTCAACTTCCCCTTCATAGATTTCCAGTCTTGTTGTTTTGATGTTAGAAGCATGTCAACTTTAGTGGTTTGTGTCTCAATTGGTTTCACCCTCAGCATAGATGCAAGTTTACCAGATATGTATGAGCTTCCAGCCCCTGAGTCGATCAATGCACGACATGTAATTCCATTTATCTTGACAACAAGAATGGGGAAAATTCCTTCACCAGTACATCCATCTGTAGTCAACACAGTCTGACCTGTTTTTGGTGGTTCTTCTCGATTGGTGACATCACATATGCTCGTATGGTGTCGTTTGTGGCAATTTCTACATGATGACTTGCTGGGGCAAGCGTTAGCATGATGCTGTCCTGCTGTGCAGTTGAAACAAAGTTTCTTTTTGACTAAAATTGCTCTTCTCTCCTTGACAGTACTGATTACTTTACATTCCCCCGATTTATGATTTCCTTCACAGTAGACGCACATCCCCTTTTCTTTAGTATGAAAGACTTTCTCTGACCTTCTAGATTTCCATCCAGGTGTGTCTGACTCTTTCTCACAGACTGGATTTCGCCTGGTCCACTGTCTGACTGCTTCAGTAAGCTTGGAAAAGTCCCAACTTTCCCATTCTGGATCATTTCTAACAAGGTCCCCATGTATGGCTGGGAGTTTGTCTAGAGTCATGGAAACATTTCCTTGGACATCCTTCAGTTTACCCAGCGTTTCCAAAGCTTGGACACTGTGATTTAACTTCTCACTAAATTCGGCAATCTTTCTCGGGTTTGCTCCAGAGATATGAGGCAAGTCCATGATCTCTTTTATGTAAGCTTTTATAATTTCCGAATTCTTCCCATACTGATCTTTTAAAATTGACTTCGCTCTATTGTATCCTTCGGTGGTAAAGGGTAATGATTCTACTCGTCGCTTAACTTTGGGCCCAAGGAAACCACACAGATATGTGAATTTGTTGATGGCAGCTATATTTGACTTGTCCACCGTCTCCGTGAATTGCCCCCAAAATCTGGGCCAATCCATGTATTCCCCCTCAAATTTCGTAATATTTATTTTTGGCAATCTCACCGACATACCTTCATCACTTATTTTTGAGTCCCCGGACTTTGAATTTTGGATTTTTGCATTTACTTGAGCCTTTGTTTCTTGAAGCTTTACTTCAAATCTAAGTTGCTCCTCGCGAGCGTGATTTTCCTCTTCTAATTTCCTATTGATCAGCCAGTGTTGTAGCTTGTTTATTTCGTCTTCGGCTTCGCTTATTTTTGTTTCGATTTCCGCATTCCAATCGCTGATTTCTTCAAGGTCGTCTTCTCTTTCGATTTTCGCTGCTTCTACAGCTCTTTTAAAATTGTCAGCTTCGTTTATAGTTGTTTTGAGTGCGTTCAGTTGTCGTTCGATAGTTTCTCGCTTTCCCGAATCTAATATTTTAGCTGTTCTTTGAGCAGATAACTTTAGTTGAGTTAATTTTATGTTGAGTTTTGCTTCGTCGTTTGCCATGTTTGTATGGCACGTGTAATATCTCGTACGAAATTTTCACAGTTTATCACAATAACAATCCCGTCGGAGGTGCCACGTATTCCGAAAATTGACCTCCGTCCCAATGTGTTCGGAACACGAAGAATAATCACTATCACAACTTGGTTTCATAAACAATTTTATTATCACTTCTTAAAGTCTCTCGCTTCCCTCGCTTGTCTCTTTCGTCTCTCTTGTCTCGCATGCCTCACTTCTCACTTCCGTTCTCTGCTCTCTCTACTTCCGTTACTTATCGTCCCCAAAGTACCCGAATGTACAATTAAACCCAACACAACTTTAACATAATTTGCAACACCTGATTGCAGGCTATATGCATAAGCTCGGGAAACAGGGATAAAAACAAGGCATGAATTGAGCCCCGAGGTGCAAAAAGTGAAGAGCGTATTTTTTGTACAATGTCTTTTGTTTAATAAATATTTGTTATAACAACAGGAGTTTGGTGTTCTGTAACAATTCGGAACAGAGTACATTTTTCTTGATTTCTTTCATTCTTAATTACCTATCTATTATTTGAGACAATAGTCTTCTTCATTCCCATAATTCCGTGCATCATAAATAAAAAGGAACATAACAGCAAAAGAAATCATATTTTCCTGATTATTGGCGTAGATAAAACAAAATGGGCAGAATTGTATCAGGAGCTTTGACTTTATTATTGGTAGCTTCTTCTCTTCATGAAAGCGGTGCACTTTCTGCTCAGACATGCAAAAATATTACATCCTTTAAAGAAAAGTGTTAGAATCCTGATTTTATATTTGTCAAAAATCAAATTGTTCTTAAGGGCGAACTCGATGTAAAATTCGAGACTAGTGGACAAAATTTCTCTTGGTATTGTGGAAGCTCGAGGAGAGAAGTGGTTTTGGACAAACCGGCAAATAAAGCACGAGTGTATTATCGAAAAAATGAAGACGTAGAAATATTCATTGAAGATTGTCCCTAGGTTAAGTCTAAAAAATTCAGTGTTACAGATGGTGAAAGTGTTTGTTACGACGAAAGTTTTTCCTATGCGTGTCCTGGGATAGAAGGAAAAAGTCATCCTTGCAGTTATGAACTAACAATTAACAAAAAAACAACTAAAGTATCTCAGGTATCTGTCGGATTGACCCTGAAAATCGTAGCAAAATTCAAAATATCTTTTTCTGCATCAAGGGCACAAAAAATCGTACACACTTATGAGTACCAAGAGAAATGGTACTTTGTCGTACCTGCTGGATATACGTTTTGCTCATATAGAAAAGCCACAATTAGTTTTTGAAATCAGTCATACTACTGTTCCGGAACAGACTTCAAATTTGTTAAGTTTGGTACTATTTGCTCGGGGAATAGATTATGTAATAAAAAAGAAAGGTCATGTTTTCATGACGAACACAACATCAGTAACAGGCCAAATTTTCATTTCGCTTTCTGTTTTATCATACTCTGTGTTTTTCTTTTCATCTAATGTAAAACGTTCATTGCCAACACCCACTCATTTATTAACAGCTAATGTGTAGTTTCTAGTATCATAAATATAAATGGACAATATAATGTTTCTGTGAAGAAATGAAAGCTTAGTTTCATGTATAAACACGAGATGTATTTTGTAAACTTACTTTAAGTACGTCGCAAAATCCTTATGGCATTTTGCGTAAAAACTTGTATAGTAACTATGAATATGTAGTTGATTAGCATTTATGTATGTGTGTGACAATAATAAAGTCATTAGTAAACTCAATTGTCAATTGATAAACTTTGTGCTTCTAGCTGCATGTTTGTGGTATGCAAAATGAAACTGCTGTGTAAACGTCATATTTATTATGAAATATAAAATTTTTCACTTTTAGTTTTGCTAACTTGAATGAATTAAGTTCGTTATCTTAAATGAAAGATTTTTCAAATAAACTGCTAAGGTTATCCCCTACCTATACGAGTTCCACTTTTATTAAAAGATTCATTACAGGAAATGATAGCAATTGCTGATAGCAATTCCATATTTGCAGTATAGTTAATTCAAATCACAAATTCGGATTTGACAAAGTCGATGTCATTTAAAGACATTAGAATTGATTCCACTAGACGAACAAAATGATACAAGATTCAACACTATGAATGCATTTAATTTTAAATCTTCACCATGCAGCAACTGTAAATTCTTCGAAGTAACATTTTATAAAAATTTTGGATATTTTGCTACCGATGTGTACACATGGTATGCAGCCAAATTGATCAGGTCCTAGTCTTTCTCCCGTATACTGTGATATAAATGTAGTTTTGATGGATGGAAACCATTATGAAAACGACTTGATTATGACCGCGCTAAATTTGAGAATTTAAGCGAGCAATGTTTTTGAAATATTTGTTACTTCACTTCAAATTTTGAATATCGGAGCAAAATTTTCTGCCTATGTTAAAGATATACAGATATATAAAGTTGTTGTGATGGTGAATGGCACCGATAGAAAGCGAGAAGTCCCAAAGAAGGTTGGCAGACAGAGTCAAAGGAATTAAACTGCACATTTTGCCCTATTACGGTATTAAATACATCCATGTCGATTGATGAGCAAGAAAATAAATTGAACGATTATATAGAAGATTTTCTACTCAAAGGTAAATTTGTGAACAAAATTGTGTATTATCATTGACTGTTCATGTAATTATTAAGGATAAAAATAATAAAATTTGAAATCAGCTGTTGATTTAATTCAAACCTCCCATGTTGTTATTATTTTCAAAACCGTATTTTGTAGCAACGAAGAAATTTTGGAGTACACCCTAAACTGAGGTGTATATCATCAAGATTACGTCTGCTTTGACCTAAAAAAATTTTACATGGTTTTGTCTACAAATAATGCACAAGAATTAAGTCGATACATTAAGTGTTGTTATGGATGAAGTAACCAATCATCCTCTGAAGATGTTTGTTATTTTAAGCATATGTATTTGTATTTCTACAGTAAAGAACAGGCGTGAAAGAATATTAAAATGCATTCAAAAAGCCAAAGCACAGACTGCAAATGCTTATAAGAGTCCAAGCATTGAAGTTGTTAAGGTATTGAAATTATATTGGATTATCTTTTCTTGTAAATGACTTATATGGCTCACCACCATATAAACGTCTGTGTCATACATCAAGAGATAAGTAGGTCCAATGTAAATTAAACCAACTATTTACTTGTCACTTTTAGAGTTGCATGTGAAAAAGAATACAGTTTTTAGTCTGTTACAAGTACTGTATGCTGTTTTGTTTGTGATGAAATAATACAATGTTTGGTATTTTAGGACAAGTTTTTCATTTCCTAAGCACAACCAGTGGTGTCAAACTAGATCCCATCCTTCAAGATCATTGGCATATCCAGGTTTGCAAGTTTTTTTCCAGCTTTCCACTACATCAATATATCATTCCATTTCTTGAAATGTTGTTTTTTACCTTGTTCAGAATGTACGCCAAATGAAATTTAAAGAATTTCTAAGTGAGTACAATGTTTAGTCAAACAACCTGACTGAAAAAGCTGATATGTAATAACATTTGCAAATCTTGCTGTTTTTGAGAAATTCTGTTACACCATTGATGTCTCTATAAACTTGGGGCACCTGTGTCACTACCTTTAAAATAATTAACTAATAGGTGACTAAAATATAGAATGCAAACAGATAGCATATTATGTATATACTTAACATTTATATCATCACATATTTGTAAAAAGAGTTTCATTGGGACAATAATCTCATTGTTCTATGTAACTTGTGGTTCCTTGCAGATTTTCAGAGGTGTATACCTTTTACACTTTTATCATAGAATTTTATGATTGAAGGCTAAAAAAAATTGCAAAGTAATCTTCACATTGTAACTCAACCAATACCTTCAATACTCAGTAACATAAGGCCCTCGCTGGTCTTTCCGTCGTCTTCGTGAAAACAGCTGATTACATTATTTTGCATGGAAATTTCAGCGAATACATAATTAATTTATGTGCGTTCCGTTTTTTGGGACACCTGTAGATGGACCTCTTCTGGTATCAGTTACTCTTCCTATGATAGAATTTTGTTCTTTTTATAGACAACGCAGGAAATGTTGATTGAGCCATTACTGCGCAGGTGTGTACGTACGTAGACGATCCTTTAAGTCTGTGAATGTGACACATTTGAACGAGCTCATTGATTTGTTCTCTGACGTACAGAGAATTTGTTCATGAAAGTGAAATTTGTTTTAATAATTGTAAAACACTTTACTGTCTCCGAGATCTTGTATTTTTAACAAAGACTACGTACGATGTGTTGATCTTTGCTAGGTGACAGCGTACATAACAGAGCTTCAAGCATCAGGATCAGTGACTGACAACATGTCTGTTAAGTCAAGTTTAGAATGAACTGTTATAATTTGTGTTTGTCAACAACCATATGTGATGTTTTGTCTTCCAGAGTGGCGGACGCTGAAGGAGGGAGAAAGTCACTATCTTACGTACGTATATTGATAATTTTATATTTGATAAAGAATGAGTAACACAACGAGTTACGACACCATGTAAATTGATCGAAATGATTTGACAAACCTCTCCCCAACCCTCTCCGTAGAAAATTTAGTCAATTGACCAGAACTATTTTCCAAAATATATAACCGTTCATTGCTAAGAAGTGTTGTTTTATTTGTTTATAAAACACAGAGTTTTATTTTTTTACTTTTAGATTGCCTTTGTCAAATCTCTCTTGTAAAATCAATAGCTCAGGTAGGATAATTGTCAGTTGTGGTTTACCATGCCTCAAAAGCAAGAGTAAAACTGTGTTCATTATCTTTTTTATTAAGTTATCACACAGGAAAGACACCATAGCAAACAGCTATCTCCAAGTAATGGTTAAAATACAGAAATCTAAATAACGATCTGTTGTCATAGTTGCGTTTTTAGCTAAAAGTACACTATAAAGATTATGAAGTAGTTGAAGATATTAAGTCAATAATTAAATTAGTAAAGCCTGCTCCCCAGTCACCCCATAACCCGCGCATACTTGTTCTTGATATCCCAATTGCAAAAATTCTTCTTCATACTTTATGTAAATATCGTAATATCAGAGAACGTACGTATGGATCAAATAGAAAGTTTTATTTATAGATTTTGAAATATGAGCCAGCAAAACTTCTACTACAATCTGTGTCGTTATTTCGCTATGAAACTTTACAAAAACTTCGCTCGTGAATTGTTCGTGTTAAAAGTATGAGAGCTCCAAAACCTGGGGAGAGGTTTGTCATTCATATTACGTAAAGTCTTGTTCTTATCCAAAACTCACATAGCCACAATCACCCTCACCACCATTATCTTTATCACACATTAACCCTCACCATCATTTTTATCCCAAACCATCATTACCGTAATCCCCAATCACCCTCACCACGTCCTTTATCCACATTACTCATTTTCATTATCCGTTCCTACTTAGAGTGATACCCATGACTGGATCACCGCTGACCAATGATGTTGCGCCCTTGGACAACAATGCTCCGAAGGGCATCATAGTATTAACAGGTGGTAAGGTTAGTGATTTCATTTTAGTGGCTACCTTTTTGATTCCTAGTATGAATTGTGTTTTATTTAAGAAATAAAAGATGTTTACTGTGCTTGCACAGGCTTATGCAAACCGAAGATTCGTTTGGGAGAACTTGAGAGCAGATCAGTGCAAGCCCGAGACCGAAGATCGAGAGTTGCACATGCTCGAGAGTTCTTACAAACGTCTTCTAGGTTTGCACAAGTCAGTGTAAACACGGAAAATATCTTTTATTTCTTTTATAAAATAACAATATTGCGAAACAGACGAACATTTTAATTTTTCCTCTAAAATGTATTCATGATCTATTTGCAAATTCTCATTGACTGGTTGATTGTTATGATTGATTTGATTGGTAGAGCTTAGACGTGTTTTGCACAGGCTAATGCAAACACAGCTCTAGACCAATCAGCGCACGTGTTTCATTGTGTTTATTTTATAATGTTTGATGAAAGACCACCGTTGTATGACAGAAGTACAAAGACTCTCATACACACGGGAATTCTAAAATTTTAGACACCGTACTTAATCATTGGAGCATATAAGTACTAGACATTTCGTCATACCAACCTACATGAATTTGAATTTTTGAAATATTTTAGATGACTAACTGCTAGTGATTTGGTCAACTACCTGCAAATTAGTAAGGGTAGAGCACGATCATGTGTGCTCTATGGGATTGAGAGACCCTCGCGTTAGATAAAATTTCACTCACTCGGGCACCGTCATAGAACAATGCATGGCCAAAGCCAGAAGGGATTACTTATGGTACTGAATTTAAGATGCTGTATTCTTATACAAGTATCTTTAGTTTACAGCTGATGATTGTTTTCAACGAGTATTTGAGATGTGTTCCATGTAAAGGCAGGTTTTAGTTCAAAACCTCTCGAAAGTTATAAGCCAGGGGGACATTGGATTGGTATAACTCACAACCTGTTAATTTTAACACGTTCTATAAATATTTACCAGCAATGTGCGAGGTAGATTACATTGACATAAAAGGTTGAGGATTTTCAAATGATTTTGGAAAGGTTACGTGCCCAACAACCCTCTAAGAAAGGAACATTTTAGTGATGAACAAACAATAATGTCTCGGACTGATTATCGAAGCACATCATTGTTAGATGATACAAAAGGCCAAGTTCTACTCTGGTTATGTCAGTTTTAAAAGCACTTCAACAACCTGCTCCATTGGCGTTTCATGTCCAAAGAAAATTGAGGTAGATAAGAAGAAAGAAGCATGTGTTAGTACGACAAATACACGACGTACTTTAAAAGTTATTGAACATGAGAAAACACGTATGTTGTTTCATTTTATGTTCAATACACATGTGTTTGCTTTTAACTTTGTGAGCAATTATTAGTTTTTCCAATTTTTTTCGTAAGAGTTATTTTAATTTTAACATGAATATATTGACATCATCGAGATGCGTTAGAAACGCGTTAAATTTCATCACCTTATTAGTTATTCAGAGATGAAATGTAATGTGGAGTTACGACAGTCATTAGTATCCTTTAACCTCATTAATATTTTCTATTTAGAGGATACTAATAAGGAAGTGAACAATAAAAAAACAATATCTTGTTAGTATTCTCTATATATGGATTAAAAATGAGATTTAGTGAATACCATTAAGCTTTAATTGTATTCCATTGTTTTCACTCCATCTCCGCATTTTCCTTGAGCTTTAAAGCTTACATCACTTCTTGAACTTTAGCCACTATGCCATATGGAACATCAAAATACTGGACGCTGATTGGCCGAGTGACTTTGGCTGTGTTCTAATTCTAGATATCTGTAGATATGACGTCATTAGTACGAAAATTTTTTTCTACCATTATTGACTGACGCCATTAAAAGCCGAATTTGAAAAAAATCAAATAAAGTGATGTTTACCACAGTTTCTAAAAACAATAAGCGAAAGATTTCGAACAAAATTGATGCAGAAAACACTAAAAAAGCGACGAAGCTGGTTTCGAACATATTTACAGCATATTTAAACAAGAAGAACTCGAAAAAACCGTTTGACAATTACAACTAAGGGCAGGTTTCGAAATGTTTTACATTGATGAGTGTAAATAATATTTCAGTTTGTTGAGGTGAATGATAAAACAATTATTCAATTCGTTTTTCGCATGATATCAACAATTATTCATACCTCTGTCAACGTTATCCGTCCCAGCTTTGCTTCGGCAGATGACATTGACCTCGGTCTGAATAATTCTATATATCATGCTCAACTTCATCTAATAACTGTTCATTATTAAAATATTAACTTGCTAAACTGAGGGGCGTTTTGCTGGTATATTTGTGCGTTATAATCGTTTTTTCCTAGGAATATTAAATTTCACTGTGTAGCACAAATGACTCTATGACTGTACCACTACCTTATAATGGTTTAAATGACAGAAAAATTACAGTCCCTTGAAATGAAAAATATCAAATGTAGCCAAAACGCAAAACAAAAAAATGAAAGCCAAAATGTAGTTTTTTGGCCGTACAAAACCAGGCTACAAACCCTAAACATGGCGACTGTATTATTGATGACGTCACGTTCACATCAAGAATACAAAGTTCTCAGACATAAAATTTCCTCGTTATTTTATTGTCTGAGAGGAAACTAGAAAGGTGGCAAAATTTTCAATCTGAAGCTGCAATAACAATTTGTCATATTTATGTCATTTTAGCCAGTAAATAGCAAGAAACTTATCACGTGCTTTCGTACAAGTATACCCGTCGTAGATGGTCAAAGTACAGTACACCAACAGCTAATGGTGCAGTTTCATTCTTGTAATTTTACCATGCATATAAAGTATGTCACGTTTTAAATTTTGTTGCGTATAATAATAATGGCAGTACTAACGAAAATTGATATCCAGTTTGGTGTAGTCTTAAGAAGTGATTGAATGTTGGTGTTATTAGGGTAAACCTACCACTAGTAGGTGCCCCTAGTGCGCATGTGTGAACGCTACTTATAAAACATATTCACGTAGGGTGACTCGCTTTCTAGGATAACCCTTCTGCTGGGGTTACCGTACCTCCATGTAAATAGTCTCTAAGCAAATTGCTTTTGTATATTTCATGGGAAATAGTCCAAACAAATTCAACGCATAATTTAATAATGATGTGAGCAAAGCCATGTAATATATTTGAAAAATGCCATTTATATAAATAACATGTAAATATATAATTCTTAATTGGTGACCAAAGTTTGTGATAGACATGTGCTGTATATAGTATTTTATCATACAACTTGCAATATACAGTATATATATCATTAAAGTGAATCAGTGGAGAAATAATTTTTCAACAGGCTTTAAAGGTTTACACATTTAACTTTACATATTTATCATCCAGTGTAAGCTACAAGAATTTTTAGTAAGTTATAACGTTTGATGAACGTTTTCTTACTTATACATACTTTTGTCCAAAAGGTAAAACTTCGGCTATGAACGCATGTCGTGGTTCGTTCATTGAAGGAAGATATTTCCATGAAGAACTACATCCCATTTTGAAACACTCCACTGATTTAAGATAATTACCTTTATCACCCACATCTCCCATGACAACAATTGTATCATCTGTTATAACTGCACAACAACAGGATCTCTTTTCCAACATGGATGGTAAGACTGTAATCTTACCTGTCTTAGTGTCATACATGATAACACTGTTCAAACTTTCTTTTCCATCATAACCTCCAAGAAGAACAACTTGATCTCTCCATTGAACTGTTGCCATTCTACCCAATGGATGAGGTAATGGAGGCATTTCCTTAAATGTAAGAGTCCTTGGATCAAATTCCAAAACACTGGACAAAGCTTTCCTATCTTTTCCCTCTCCTCCAAAAATAAGAACTTTATCATCAACAACAACAGCTCCATGGTCATTACGTGGTTCAGGCATATGACACAACTCTTTCAAAACATTAGATGTTGCACCTGTAATTTTTATTTCACTGATCAAATCTGAATATCCTTTACCACCAATGTGTCCTCCAATGTGAAAGATTTGTTGTTTATAAACAACAGTTTGATGATAATGACATTCATAAGGAAGCTCTGTGGGAAATGTCTTCCATGTCAAAGGAAACTGTTTTATATTCAATGTCTCCATTGACTTGCAGAACACTCCTCCAACAACAAATAAATCATCATTATAAATAAATGATGAAGACCACATGTGTACATTTTTCATTGATGCAATATTAAACCATTTCTCCTCCTTCCATGAAAATATTTCAACACTCTTTGAGGAACCATGTGGGTAACCTCCAGCAATGAAAATATCACCTTTTACAGAGTTCATCAACATTTCAATTGGTGATGTCAATGTTTGAACATGTTGTTCATTTATATTCATCTTTTCCAACATTTGAAACATCATGGCTTTCATTTCTTTCATTTCTTTGGTCACTGCAGAAAGATTTTGTTGAACATCTTTTATTTCTTTCCTTGATTCCATCATTTCTTTGGTCACTGTAGAAAGATTTTGTTGAACATTTTTTCTTTCTTTCCTTGATTCCATCATTTCTTTGGTCACTGTAGAAAGATTTTGTTCAACATTTTCTACTACAGATTCCATCATTTCTTTATACTGAGATGTCAATGGTTTCACGGAATCTTTTACTTCGTCTATTTTCCTGCTTAAGTTGTTCATTTGCATTTCCATTTCCATTTTGTCTTCAAAACTTCGTTGAAACATTTCGCTAATCTCTCGAAAGTCGTGAGAAGCAATCTTTCTGTATTCACATAATTCAGTTTCATGTTTAATCTTGTCTCGTTTGTTTATTTCCAGACCACAACGTTCATTAGAACACAACACTGGAGCAAAGCCACAATTTTCAACATGTCTTTCAAGATCTTCGACATTTATAAATTCAGGACAACCACGACTGGCGTAGTCGCAGTTGATCTTTAACTTTGAAATCATTTTATTTATAACACGCGCTGGATGAAGCGTAGCTACAGTTAAATCATCTTGACATTGAGGACATCTTTGTACATTAACTCGTAGATGTTCTTCAATGCATTCACGACAAAAATTGTGTTGATTATGGCACATTCTGGCATCTTTCATGACATTCAGACAAATGGAACAGTAAAAATTTTCATCAACAACAGTCTTAAATCTTGATTCTTCGTATCCACTTTCGTAAACATTAGGACGACAAGCCATTTCATACGTCTTCCTATACAATTTAATATCAAAATTGTAGTACAGCTGTTAATGAGAAAATTTTTCACTTGAATGATACAAGGGTAAAACTTTCTTATAGTCTTACCTTGCCTCAAAAGACAAAATTTTGATATAGGGCTATCAATTGAGTTCTATTAGACTCAATGGGGCTATCCCATATTTTACATTTACAACGCGTTCTGCGCATGTCGTGTTTGATGACGTTAACAGTAGTAAAAAAAAAAACAAAAGTTCTGAGTCATCGCAATTTCTCCGTATATTCTTATATAACAGCTAAAGACGATAGAAAAATTATATTACAACTTTTGCTTTTGAGGAAAACATTCTGAAATATTCTACATTAAAGGACACATGCAAGATAGAAGACAACACTGCTCCTCTGATACATGGCGATCATATTTGCATCACACAAGAGGAAGAGTTTGCCACAGTGTGTACAAACGAAGCTGTCATAAAAACATCTATGGTCGTGTACACACATGACATTGGACCTATACCTGAGAGTGAAGAAAACGAGTAAATATTACCTTAGAAGTATAATTACGTGTAAGTCGAGAAGTGTATAATGCCGATAAGTATCTTAGACAAAATTTTGTATCTTTCAAGAAACGTAACGCTAAACGGCGTACCGACAGTGGACGGCTTGGGTGCATGGCAAGTTGGGAAAAAAGTACAGACTACCCATACCTTCTTGTGCTGGAGACAAAATCCGGAAAGCATTTCCTTCGCCTTCTGGAGAATACAAAGGATTTGAATATGCTCAACACAACTGAATGGTAGGGCTTATGGCGTATGACAAAGTCTGTTCATTTGTAATTATGTTTATTTCATGTGGAACGCTATTTCTATTATCTTTTTATATATAGAAGCGACATTTATGTTGCTTAATGGCTTCAGCTTTGCTGATTTTTGATTTGTGGCAAGTCAATGGGACAGGTATTTCTTTCACTCCAGACATGAAGAGCTTCGGACAGTGTTGGATTAATGCGTCTGCAGTACAAAACTTCTTTCATCAAGTCCTTAACATATCCTGACAAGCAAATCATTATTTATGTTGGCTTTGCATTGCACTTTGAGAAAAAGTAAGTTTATTTTTCTGTGCTAACCATAAGTGCTGTCAATTTTCACTGGTTTGATATCCCCTTGCTCTTCTTTTGAATTTAAATAAGCCACTCTCCAAATCAATTCCTCTTCTGTTTGCCCATCATTCTTCATTTTATGAGCTTTGTTTCCATTCTCATTGAAATGAAGAGCAGCAATAAACAATCTACAAATGAATGTTAAGTTTATGTTTACAACTATTGCAACTTATTGCTTTTGCAATGATGACTTTTTTTAAGTAATCATACACAAATCATTTTTATATTACCTTGCTTACATTGATCTGTAGAAAAAATTAAGTATGTTTTGGTGCAAAAAGAATTACCACTCGGTGGAAACCTTTGATGGATGAAGTCTGCTTTTGATAACTGAGTTTTCCATTATCTGTCATGAGATACTTGGACTCAACAATCAAGACAGCTCAACATAAGCTTTTGAACCTAAGATCAGAAGTTAGTTAACAAAAAAGAATGTTGATGTTACTTTGAAATTTATTCCACAATACCTTTTTTATCCACATTCTAGGCTCTAACATATCATATTCACATTTTGGGAATACATCACTATGTCCCTCATGGATGTCACATATATGGTTGAGAACTGACAACCACTTTGCCTTGACAAGTTCTTCATCACCATTGCTGGAAGCAGCACACCAGTATACATGGTTGGAAATTGATTGGGCCCAATCTGACAATAATTTGCAACCACTTTTTTTTGATGCTGCCCAAATGTTCTTTTTAATTCCTGTTGGATTTTGATTATTGATGAAATGTGTAAAAGGTTGGTTTGTTATTACAATCTATACCTTTTGCTACATGCCATACATCAAAGTAGTGCTTGATTTTTGGTCTTTGTTTTTTCATGTAAGATTTGATTTGAGCATGTCTGTCTGTGGTCATTGACTTAACCTTCATCCCACTTTCATCAAACTTTGCCAGATATCTTTTTAATTCCTCAAGTTCCATTGCTCCAGAGTTCGTCACTTCATTGGACTGTTTAACATAATTATGTGAGTATTCTAACCATGTTTTACATACATTTGTTGAAGAATTGTTACCTGAACAAGTTGTGTGTCTAAAATGTTGTTAGATTCCAAATGCATGCAGCTATATGACCCATACTCGGCACAATATCCAGGCAAATCACATCTTCCATCTCTTTCAAGGTTAATGTTCCTTTTATTAATTTATTATTAAAGCAGAAACAAAACAGCATATATTTAATTATTTAAGTTACATAATGAGCGTTGTCCTAAACCATGCGGTATCGAGCAGAACAGAAGATAACAATTAGCATACAATAAGAAGTGCTTACCAGATCATGTGACTAGTACTATGATCAGATATCTTATACTTAGTTTAATACACATATATAATGTATCGTCATTCCTAACACCTTTCTCTGATTTATTCTAGAAGATGCTTTTGGTGCATATGCCAAACATTTGAAACACTGGGTATCAAATACGCTGTTTGAATATAGCTATATGTGCGCTCTGACAGAAATTGTATGCTTGAGTGACAAAGGAATTGAAGAACTTTGCTGGGGCTACTACCACTAAAAAAGATGCTGGCAGCAAAGACCAAGTTACCCAAAGGCATTCGCCCATGCAGAGGTTGGCTATTCCAGTCTCGAACATAACCACAATGACATTTTGCTAGTACGTTAACCATACTACCAGTCGTTTTGGTCACAATGGAACAACTTTCACCACAACATGGGCATTGACTCACTGTCTCAGGCATCTATCAAACACTATGTATTTTCTCTCATTTTGAGCATCTTTCCTATAACATAAAAATTACCATCAGAAGCAGAGAGAGATAAACGTAACGTTCTGAGAAACATATAACAGAGAAAAGCAATGTAAAGAATAGTCAGGTGACTGGATAGTTGGTACTAACGTCACATTGTCATTGTCAGATTCTTCATTTCCGCTTAACTCGTTTGAACATTGAGAGTCTGATCCATTGTAGCTATTGCTCATCGTCGACGTGCTTTCTGTATCAGACCATACAGCGCTATCCTCAAAATGTTCAATTTCACATGAAGTCGTCTGTGTGCTGTGATTTTTTGTTGAAATGAACTCAACCTCCGTACCTTAGCATAAAATTATCGTATTGCTGGATTTTTCACAAAAATCAAAACGGCCGAAATGGAAAGTCTATACCTCTACTTATCATATTTGGCACTTTTGTAAGTTTTGTTTGAGTGGTTCTTGACCTTTCGTGTTTTTGCGGACGGATTGTTATGTCTGCTTACCATTTCACATTGTGCTTCTAAGGTATAAGGAATTTTCTATGAGTTAAAATAACATAGAAAAGATCAAACGACATTAGTCTGAATTAGTTACCACTGTATATGTTTGCGTTTCGCTGTCTACATATATTTTGACATCTTTTATCTTAGACTAACTTCCTTTGAGATAAAACGCACAAACATTTCGAGCCGATGTCGACACATCGTGGTCGTCGTCTACAAGAAAGTCGTTATGTTCTGCAAGAACCTCGTTAATAATCTAAAACCATAAAATTGTCCTCAATTTGGCAATGCTATATAGCTTAGTTTTTGATAAATGTAAACAAATATTGCTAACTATAACTATAATATTCACCTCTTGCCTTCGTCTCTTCTCAAATGCAGTTCTAACATTTGTTGGCTGCTTCCTTTTACATCGTGGGTATAGCATCCTTCTTAAGGCGAAGCCTTCTTGCTGTCCATCCTACTGATTGCATCGCTTCAAAATTTAGCACGAAGCACGAACAGTTATTCATAGAGTTCAACGTCCTTGACAGATGGCTTTTTTGGCTATCTCTCATGGCTCAAAGCTTCTTTGTTTCTTCTCGGGCGTTATTTTTGGCGCGACTTGCATGTTATCAAATTTGTTTCCTTGCTGTTTTTTCAGAATCCACTCATGGATTATTAGATACATAGAATATGCTTTAGCATGGCGACTTTGCATTAAGAAAAATAAATATTTATTCAAGGTACACAAATTCAAATAGTGTTTGATAAAAAGTAAGCGTTGTATGACAGGAAACCGAGTATAAAGACTCTCATACACACCGAACTAGCTGGGGAACTATCAGTATTAGAGATAACTTAGCTTTTGCTTGCAGTTATTCAACTGCTATGGCCATTGTGAACTGCAATTGACTTAAATCTTACATCTTTGTAGATGTATATCCAGTGGATGACTGTTGGTGCTCGTATTGACGGACGTTTCGACATTCTTTGCGGTAGTCACTTTCAGAAAACTTGTCAATTTTCATAAGTGATATATTTATTTCATAGTTGCTATAGTCTTTGTGTCTCATTTTTGTTTCACTTTCATTGTCGATAATCATTGTCGTTTGATGCAAAATTGCTGTCTTCTCTTACATTGCATGCGATTTCTGTAAATGGGACTAAGATTTCGGACAATTTTTTACAAAAAACAATGACTTTACAAATAGCTTCCTGTACTATTACTTCCTGCTATAACAGAAAACGCACAGGAACATGAAATTAATTTGTTCTACACATATTTATGATACAACAGACAACACGCTAGCTCTTGTAATGAGTGAATGTCGATGGACGTTCTTCATTGGATGGAAAGCTGAAAAAACAGACAATGACAAAGTCGAAGTTAAGCCAATTGAAAATTTCGAAAGTTGGAATGAAGTGTTGAAACGGTCCTGGGAGACATATTGTCTTTACACTTTTTCTCTCCCAAGCAACCACTACTCAATTCAGTTTGACGAAAGATTGTTTCCGAGCACTCACATTTATACCAACTTGGGGCAAGGACGTCTTTCTTACTTGAGCTACATACTAAATGAGCAAAAATTATACCGACATAACCAACAAAATAAAGTAATCTTGTTATTTGCTATACCAACCGGTCTCTGTTTAAAATTTGAATACCATAATTCTTCAAAATTTCGTTCAAAGGCTTATGTGTAGATGGCCAATACGTACGGTGGCCTATATCCGCCATGGCAAAATATTTCAATTACAAATCTAAAACATTAGTAACTACGTCACAAAGTTAATACTCACGGCAAAACATATATACTCACGGCAAAACATATATACTCACGGCAAAACATTGGTTTTGTGCATGTCACTGACATACATAATACAACGGGGGAATGAGACGTACGTAAGACCTCCAAATTCATGAACTTGGAAAACTTTTGAAACTGTCTAAAATGTACATTTGGTTTTTATATAATCATGTTTTATATCCATGTTCAATGTTGACATCATTTATTCAACTATAGTTTAGTGAATTGAATTGCTTCTGACGTATTCATAATTTGAAAGTACGTCGATATCAATGTCTTATGTTCATGTCAATTTATGTTTCTATTGTTTCAACTTCTATTTCTCTCACATGTCCTGTATTGCTCTCGCCTGTACTTTATTGCTCCTACATGTCCTGTATGTTGGTGGATATAGATAGTTTAGGCTAGTAGAGTCCTTAGATGGACTGTTAGTATTGATGTTGACTGACATATTATAGAGAACTTTAGCGGTAATCATCTTCATAATCAAGATAACTACCGCTAAGGTTGTGGTAACGTCAGTCAACATCAACAGTCCTTCTCATGACTTCATAACCTTGACGATCTTCATCTACTCACATACAGGACATGTAGGAGCAATGAAGTACAGGCGAGAGCAATACAGGACATGTGAGAGAAATAGAAATTGAAAAAATAGAAACATATATTGACATGAACATAAGACATTGATATCGGCGTACTTTCCAAATTATGAATACGGTCAGGAGCAATTCAATTCACTTAAACCTTATATAAAAGTTGAATAAATGATGTTAACATTGAACATGGATATAAAACATGATTATATATAAACCAAATGTACATTTTAAACAGTTTCAAAAGTTTTCCAAGTTCTCAGGACTTCATAACCTTGACGATCTTCATCTACTCACATACAGGACATGTGGGAGCAACACTATTCACATGCCTTTATTGCTCCCACATGTCCTTTAATGTCTCCAAATGTCCTGTATTGCTTCCAGAGGCGTAACTAGAACGTTAATTGGGGTGTATATTCATATATTCAGTTGTGCCCTACTGATTTCTTTTCTAAGGAAACTTTTCAAAAATTTCAAGCGAAAGTGAGAATCTTCACGAGGAAAACCAGGAAAGACAACATATACAAAATATATGAAGAAATGATATTAACTTTTCCCAAGAAATTTTGATGGCCAAAACCTCTTTTGCAAATTATTTAATAAAAACAGTAATACAAAAACAGACACTAAAATTACAAGCCAGTCCGTTTGAAGGAAGCCAGTTTAATCAAAGCGGTGGAAAACGCCAGGCATCATCCCATTCTCAAGAATCTTGTCAATGATTGTAACTCGATCTTATGTTACAAATATGGAGAAAATTTACAAAGGAACGATTTTAATCTCGATTGGAATACGGTATGTTTTTAATGTTCTCATATGTCTTCGATTGCTCCCGCATGTCCTGCATTGCTCCTACATGTCCTGCATTGCAATGCTTGTATTGCTTTACGTGTTCTGTATTGCTCCCAAATGCCGCATATTGCTTTCGAATTTCTTGTATAGCTCGTCACAGCCGCCATGTTGGTTGAATTTGACAAAGCAATGTTCTTTTTTCACAATTCAAATTTCAACCAACATGGCGAATATCTCTTTTTGCTTTGAATTTTTGGGAGAATAGCTGAAATGCACCTACTGCATGGCAAAGTTAAAAGAATAATTAAAATCGTGCACGATGGATTTCAAATTTGTCTACATTCATCATTTAAGAAACGGAGAACACCAGTACACTTAACATGTCTAGATAATTTAATTATTGCATAATCGACTGTTATATCTAATATTTTAATTATGTAAGTTGTCGTGTTTTACCAAACACGTCAGACGTCAAAAATGGCATTGTGACATCATGTCCACTTTTTAAAACAAAAATCTGTAGAGAATGCAAAACCAAATCATCGCCACGAAAGATTTAGGACTACCTGACCCAGAAACTCTCTGATTAGGATCAACGACCCAGACTGCCAAATCTCCTTCATTAACGTTCGCAATTTTCCCATGAACCTTTTGGGTCTCAGCATCAATGATGACGACAGTCTTCGATTTCGATGCAGGGGAAAGAATCCATTTTCCGTTTATAAACAACTTTCGTGAAGCGCCGTGTCGTCTTGTCTCAAGACGATCCACGTCATCGATATATTTCCAACGGCTGCTATCATTTCTTCCTGCCAGCTCCAAATCGACGACCGCCATTTTGTTTATGTAATCAAGCGTGACAAATACATAGTAGGTATCGGGATTTGTTTTCTTGGGGTAAAAAACCGCACGTGACACGCCTCCGGGGATCAAGAGTTGAGGGTGATGCTGGAAATCTGATCCAGAAAAAAAGAGTATGTTCATTCGACTGATGTTTCCTCTGCGATATGTGGTAACAAGGAATCTGCCATTAGGCGAAGCAAAGGAGTAGCCAGGAAACCTGAAGGTTCGAGTTACAGTGTCATTGGAAGGGTTGATTTCAAGTGTGGAAACGCTGCGATAACGATATCGACAGTCGACATACACACGTTGATTGTAAAAGTTATATGCAATTCTGAATGTGCCTGTGCATCCATGTGTTGAAAGATTCACAAAGCCTGCGTATGACTTTCCTTCCAAGTTCAACTTATGAATGCCCGGATTACTGAAGTGAGTGACGTAACCACGTTGACCTTTCAACAATGCTTTATCGGCAATCATTTGACCATGTGTCCATCCTAAGTGACATATTTGTACTCAGACAGGTTAAAATACTAAAACATTCATGATTAAATTAAAGAAAGTCTGTAATTTGGTTCGTCTCTTGTTCATCTGCAATTCTTTTCTTATTTAATGAGTTGAATTTTGAATCGTGTTCCCGTTTTTGTCACTTCGAAATAAATAAACGTTGCAACTTTACGTTTAATGTTACTACCCTAACTCTAAAGGCTGAAACACCCTGGGCAGTCGCCTCAGTCGCGCGTCCAAAGCGAATTGATGCGCACGCGTCAGTCGCTTGAACGCTAGAAACACACATGCAGCGACCATCGCGACATTTACCGTGGCGTCTATTGAACATGGCGGTGATTTTAGTTTGTTACAGACACAGATATCACTTAAACTTTTTATTTTGGCCTTTATTATAGCTACTAATACATGAATATTTACTCAGTACAAACTACTATGTGGAGAAAAGAAAACAAGCCAGTTAAAACACACCAATATGATCATAGCCCATTACGCGTATATCGTGGACAATCTTATTTTGTGCATTTAGGTTGTGCATTAGGGTTCCAGTTTGTAGCTCCTATTGTCCCTATTTGATAAGTCATATAAAAACTGAAAGATTCCAGTGTGAATTCACTATATATTGCCTTCGTTTTCCAAGGTATAATCTATAAATTTCGTATGATGCTTATAGGCGGATCTCCACTAGACGATTTTTATGACGATCGTCTTAAAAATTCGCTGCGCCACATGCGCAGTAGGAAATAAAAATCGTCAACTAAATCGTCAAGCGCTCGATGAAAAGTTGAAACGGTTTCTACTTTTTGTCGAGCGCTTGACGATCGTCGTAAATTGAACCAATGAAATTTCATTCCGTGAAACTAATTACCATTTCTCTAAAGTCAAAATGGCTGCCACCAGTGGAGAAAACGAATTCCAACTGAACGGTACAAATCCTGTAGAAAATATACCGTCAGAGATTCAAATACTTGCATCTCCGAGGAATATCTCAGTGGTGCAACATTTTGTTGATCAAAATGTGGTGCAAGATGTTGGAGAGCTCGATAAGGAAATGTTTTTACAAGCTCTCCGAGACTATAGTTGCTTGTGGGATACAAGCAATATAAACTACAAAAATAGGACCATGAAACTTAATGCATGTATTTTGGTCGTTTTCGCTTTGTTTTCATGGATCTTACTCTACATGCATGCAGTAAAATCAAATGCCTTCGAAGAAGTAAATAATGCATTAAAGTTTGATTCACATCCGCCATTTTCTTAATTTCACATTGCAATTTGCAATCGTCTTTGACGATTTTGTTGACGATTTTGTTGACGATTTTATTTCCTACTGCGCATGTGGCGCAGCGAATTTTTAAGACGATCGTCATAAAAATCGTCTAGTGGAGATCCGCCCTATGACAGGAAATATCAAAAGTCATCCTTGCAGTTATGAACTAACAATTAACAAAAAAACAACTAAAGTATCTCAGGTATCTGTCGGATTGACCCTGAAAATCGTAGCAAAATTCAAAATATCTTTTTCTGCATCAAGGACACAAAAAATCGTACACACTTATGAGTACCAAGAGAAATGGTACTTTGTCGTACCTGCTGGATATACGTTTTGCTCATATAGAAAAGCCACAATTAGTTTTGGAAATCAGTCATACTACTGTTCCGGAACAGACTTCAAATTTGTTAAGTTTGGTACTATTTGCTCGGGGAATAGATTATGTAATAAAAAAGAACGGTCATGTTTCCATGACGAACACAACATCAATAACAGGCCAAATTTTCATTTCGCTTTCTGTTTTATCATACTCTGTGTTTTTCTTTTCATTTAATGTAAAACGTTCATTGCCAACACCCACTCATTTATTAACAGCTAATGTGTAGTTTCTAGTATCATAAATATAAATGGACAATATAATGTTTCTGTGAAGAAATGAAAGCTTAGTTTCATGTATAAACACGAGATGTATTTTGTAAACTTACTTTAAGTACGGCGCAAAATCCTTATGGCATTTTGCGTAAAAACTTGTATAGTAACTATGAATATGTAGTTGATTAGCATTTATGTATGTGTGTGACAATAATAAAGTCATTAGTAAACTCAATTGTCAATTGATAAACTTTGTGCTTCTAGCTGCATGTTTGTGGTATGCAAAATGAAACTGCTGTGTAAACGTCATATTTATTATGAAATATAAAATTTTTCACTTTTAGTTTTGCTAACTTGAATGAATTAAGTTCGTTATCTTAAATGAAAGATTTTTCAAATAAACTGCTAAGGTTATCCCTACCTATACGAGTTCCACTTTTTATTAAAAGATTCATTACAGGGAAATGATAGCAATTGCTGATAGCAATTCCATATTTGCAGTATAGTTAATTCAAATCACAAATTCGGATTTGACAAAGTCGATGTCATTTAAAGACATTAGAATTGATTCCACTAGACGAACAAAATGATACAAGATTCAACACTATGAATGCATTTAATTTTAAATCTTCACCATGCAGCAACTGTAAATTCTTCGAAGTAACATTTTATAAAAATTTTGGATATTTTGCCACCGATGTGTACACATGGTATGCAGCCAAATTAATCAGGTCCTAGTCTTTCTCCCGTAAGACTGTGATATAAATGTAGTTTTGATGGATGGAAACCATTATGAAAACGACTTGATTATGACCGCGCTAAATTTGAGAATTTAAGCGAGCAATGTTTTTGAAATATTTGTTACTTCACTTCAAATTTTGAATATCGGAGCAAAATTTTCTGCCTAAGTTAAAGATATACAGATATATAGAGTTGTAGTGATGGTGAATGGCACCGAAAAGAAAGCGAGAAGTCCCAAAGAAGGTTGGCAGGCAGAATCAAAGTAATTAAACTGCACATTTTGCCCTATTACGGTATTAAATACATCCATGTCGATTGATGAGCAAGAAAATAAATTGAACGATTATATAGCAGATTTTCTACTCAAAGGTAAATTTGTGAACAAAATTGTGTATTATCATTGACTTTTCATGTAATTATTAAGGATAAAAATATTAATAAAATTTGAAATCAGCTGTTGATTTAATTCAAACCTCCCATGTTGTTATTATTTTCAAAACCGTATTTTTTACCCCGAAGAAATTTTGGAGTACACCCTAAACTGAGGTGTATATCATCAAGATTATGTGTGCTTTGACCTAAAAAAATTTTACATGGTTTTGTCTACAAATAATGCACAAGAATTAAGTCGATACATCAAGTGTTGTTATGGATGAAGTAACCAATCATCCGCTGAAGATGTTTGTGATTTTAAGCATATGTATTTCTATTTCTACAGTAAAGAGCAGGCGTGAATGAATATCAAAATGCATTCAAAAAGCCAAAGCACAGACTGCAAATGCTTATAAGAGTCCAAGCATTGAAGTTGTTAAGGTATTGAAATTATATTGGATTATCTTTTCTTGTAAATGACTTATATGGCTCACCACCATATAAACGTCTGTGTCATACATCAAGAGATAAGTTGGTCCAATGTAAATTAAACCAACTATTTACTTGTCACTTTTAGAGTTGCATGTGAAAAAGAATACAGTTTTTAGTCTGTTACGAGTACTGTATGCTGTTTTGTTTGTGATGAAATAATACAATGTTTGGTATTCTAGGACAAGTCTTTCATTACCTAAGCACAACCAGAGGTGTCTAAACTAGATCCCATCCTTCAAGATCATTGGCATATCCAGGTTTGCAAGTTTTTTTCCAACTTTTCCTTTGCATCAATATATCATTCCATTTCTTGAAATGTTGTTTTTACCTTTTTGAGAATGTACGCCACATGAAATTTAAAGAATTTCTAAGTGAGCACAGTGTTTAGTCAAACAACCTGGCTGAAAAAGCTGATATGCAATAACATTTGCAAATCTTGCTGTTTTTGAGAAATTCTGTTACACCATTGATGTCTCTATAAACTTGGGGCACCTGTGTACGTACGTAGACGATCCTTTAAGTCTGTGAATGTGACACATTTGAACGAGCTCATTGATTTGTTCTCTGACGTACAGAGAATTTGTTCCTGAAAGTGAAATTTGTTTTAATACTTGTAAAACACTTTACTGTCTTCGAGATTATGTATTTTTAACAAAGACTACGTACGATGTGTTGATCTTTGCTAGGTGACAGCGTACATAACAGAGCTTCAAGCATCAGGATCAGTGACTGACAACATGTCTGTTAAGTCAAGTTTAGAATGAACTGTTATAATTTGTGTTTGTCAACAACCATATGTGATGTTTTGTCTTCAAGAGTGGCGGACGCTGAAGGAGGGAGAAAGTCACTATCTTACGTACGTATATTGATAATTTTATATTTGATAAAGAATGAGTAACACAACGAGTTACGACACCACGTAAATTGATCGAAATGATTTGACAAACCTCTCCCGTAGAAAATTTAGTCCATTGACCAGAACTATTTTCCAAAATATATAACCGTTCATTGCTAAGAAGTGTTGTTTTATTTGTTTATAAAACACAGAGTTTTATTTTTTTACTTTTAGATTGCCTTTGTCAAATCTCTCTTGTAAAATCAATAGCTCAGGTAGGATAATTGTCAGTTGTGGTTTACCATGCCTCAAAAGCAAGAGTAAAACTGTGTTCATTATCTTTTTTTATTAAGTTATCACACAGGAAAGACACCATAGCAAACAGCTATCTCCAAGTAATGGTTAAAATACAGAAATCTAAATAACGATCTGTTGTCATAGTTGCGTTTTTAGCTAAAAGTACACTATAAAGATTATGAAGTAGTTGAAGATATTAAGTCAATAATTAAATTAGTAAAGCCTGCTCCCCAGTCACCCCATAACCCGCGCATACTTGTTCTTGATATCCCAATTGCAAAAATTCTTCTTCATACTTTATGTAAATATCGTAATATCAGAGAACGTAAGCATGGATAAAATAGAAAGTTTTATTTATAGATTTTGAAATATGAGCCAACAAAACTTCTACTACAATCTGTGTCGTTATTTCGCTATGAAACTTTACAAAAACTTCGCTCGTGAATTGTTCGTGTTAAAAGTATGAGAGCTCCAAAACCTGGGGAGAGGTTTGTCATTCATGTTACGTAAAGTCTTGTTCTTATCCAAAACTCACATAGCCACAATCACCCTCACCACCATTATCTTTATCACACATTAACTCTCACCATCATTTTTTATCTCAAACCATCATTACCGTAATCCAGCAATCACCCTCACCACGTCCTTTATCCACATTACTCATTGTCATTATCCGTTCCTACTTAGAGTGATACCCATGACTGGATCACCGCTGACCAATGATGTTGCGCCCTTGGACAACAATGCTCCGAAGGTCATCATACTATTAACAGGTGGAAAGGTTAGTCATTTCATTTTAGTGGCTACCTTTTTGATTCCTAGTATGAATTGTGTTTTATTTAAGAAATAAAAGATGTTTACTGTGCTTGCACAGGCTTATGCAAACCGAAGATTCGTTTGGGAGAACTTGAGAGCAGATCAGTGCAAGCCCGAGACCGAAGATCGAGAGTTGCACATGCTCGAGAGTTCTTACAAACGTCTTCTAGGTTTGCACAAGTCAGTGTAAACACGGAAAATATCTTTTATTTCTTTTATAAAATAACAATATTGCGAAACAGACGAACATTTTAATTTTTCCTCTAAAATGTATTCATGATCTATTTGCAAATTCTCATTGACTGGTTGATTGTTATGATTGATTTGATTGGTAGAGCTTAGACGTGTTTTGCACAGGCTAATGCAAACACAGCTCTAGACCAATCAGCGCACGTGTTTCATTGTGTTTATTTTATAATGTTTGATGAAAGACCACCGTTGTATGACAGAAGTACAAAGACTCTCATACACACGGGAATTCTAAAATTTTAGACACCGTACCTAATCATTGGAGCATATAAGTACTAGACATTTCTTCATACCAACCTACATGGAATTTGAATTTTGAAATATTTTAGATGACTAACTGCTAGTGATTTGGTCAACTACCTGCAAATTAGTAAGGGTAGAGCACGATCATGTGTGCTCTATGGGATTGAGAGACCCTCGCATTAGATAAAATTTCACTTACTCGGGCACCGTCTTAGAACAATGCATGGCCAAAGCCAGAAGGGATTACTTATGGTACTGAATTTAAGATGCTGTATTCTTATACAAGTATCTTTAGTTTACAGCTGATGATTGTTTTCAACGAGTATTTGAGATGTGTTCCATGTAAAGGCAGGTTTTAGTTCAAAACCTCTCGAAAGTTATAAGCCAGGGGGACATTGGATTGGTATAACTCACAACCTGTTAATTTTAACACGTTCTATAAATATTTACCAGCAATGTGCGAGGTAGATTACATTGACATGAAAGGTTGAGGATTTTCAAATGATTTTCGAAAGGTTACGTGCCCAACAACCCTCTAAGAAAGGAACATTTTCATTGATAAACAAACAATAATGTCTCGGACTGATTATCGAAGCACATCATTGTTAGATGATGCAAAAGGCCAAGTTCTACTCTGGTTATGTCAGTTTTAAAAGCACTTCAACAACCTGCTCCAGTGGATGTTTCAAGTCCAAAGAAAATTGACGTAGATAAGAAGAAAGAAGCATGTGTTAGTACGACAAATACACGACGTACTTTAAAAGTTATTGAACATGGGAAAACACGTATGTTGTTTCATTTTATGTAATACACATGTGTTTGCTTTTAACTTTGTGAGCAATTATTACTTTTTCGAATTTTTTCGTAAGAGATATTTTAATTTCATCACCTTGAGCTTTAAAGCTTACATCACTTTAGCCACTATGCCATATGGAACATCAAAATACTGGACGCTGATTGGCCGAGTGACTTTGGCTGTGTTCGAATTCTAGATATCTGTAGATATGACGTCATTACTACGAAAAAATTTTTCTACCATTATTGACTGACGCCAATAAAAGCCGAATTTGAAAAAAATCAAATAAAGTGATTTTTACCACAGTTTCTAAAAACAATAAGCGAAAGATTTCGAACAAAATTGATGCAGAAAACACTAAAAAAGCGACGAAGCTGGTTTCGAACATATTTACAGCATATTTAAACAAGAAGAACTCGAAAAAACCGTTTGACAATTACAACTAAGGGAAGGTTTCGAAATGTTTTACATTGATGAGTGTAAATAATATTTCAGTTTGTTGAGGTGAATGATAAAACAATTATTCAATTCGTTTTTCGCATGATATCAACAATTATTCATACCTCTGTCAATGTTATCCGTCCCAGCTTTGCTTCGGCAGATGACATTGACCTCGGTCTTAATAATTCTAGATATCATGCTCAACTTCATCTAATAACTGTTCATTATTTAAATATTAACTTGCTAAACTGAGGGACATTTTGCTGGTATATTTGTGTGTTATAATCTTTTCGTCCGAGGAATATTAAATTTCACTGTGTAGCACAAATCATTGTGACTGTCCCACTATCTTATAATGGTTTAAATGACAGAAAAATTACAGTCCATTGAAATGAAAAATATCAAATGTAGCCAAAACGCAAAACAAAATAATGAAAGCCAAAATGTACTTTTTTGGACGTACAAAAACCAGGTTACAAACCCTAAACATGGCGACTGTATTATTGATGACGTCACGTTCATATCAAGAATACAAAGTTCTCAGACATAAAATTTCCTCGTTATTTTGTTGTCTGAGAGGAAACTGGAAAGGTGGCAAAATTTTCAATCTGAAGTTGCATTAACAATTTGTCATATTTATGTCATTTTAGCCAGTAAATAGCAAGAAATTTATCACGTGCTTTCGCACAAGTATACACGTCGTAGGTGGTCAAAGTACAGTACATCAACAGCTAATGGTGCAGTTTCCCCATTCTTGTAATTTTACCATGCATATAAAGTATGTCACGTTTTAAATTTTGTTGCGTATAATAATAATGGCAGTACTAACGAAAATTGATATCCAGTTTGATGTAGTCTTAAGAAGTGATTGAATGTTGGTGTTATTAGGGTAAACCTACCACTAGTAGGTGCCCCTAGTGCGCATGTGTGAACGCTACTTATAAAACATATTCACGTAGGGTGACTCGCTTTCTAGGATAACCCTTCTGCTGGGGTTACCGTACCTCCATGTAAATAGTCTCTAAGCAAATTGCTTTTGTATATTTCATGGGAAATAGTCCAAACAAATTCAACGCATAATTTAATAATGATGTGAGCAAAGCCATGTAATATATTTGAAAAATGCCATTTATATAAATAACATGTAAATATATAATTCTTAATTGGTGACCAAAGTTTGTGATAGACATGTGCTGTATATAGTATTTTATGATACAACTTGCAATATACAGTATATATATCATTAAAGTGAATCAGTGGAGAAATAATTTCTCAACAGGCTTTAAAGGTTTACACATTTAACTTTACATATTTATCATCCAGTGTAAGCTACAAGAATTTTTAGTAAGTTATAACGTTTGATGCACGTTTTCTTGCTTATACATACTTTTGTCCAAAAGGTAAAACTTCGGCTATGGACAAGTGTCGTGGCTCGTTCATTGAAGGAAGATATTTCCATGAAGAACTACATCCCATTTTGAAACACTCCACTGAATTAAGATCTTTATCTTTATCATTCAAACCTCCCATGACAACAATTGTATCATCTGTTATAACTGCACAACAACAGGATCTCTTTTCCAACATGGATGGTAAGACTGTAATCTTACCTGTCTTAGTGTCATACATGATAACACTGTTCAATCCTTTTCTTCCATCATCACCTCCAAGAAGAACAACTTGATCTCTCCATTGAACTGTTGCCATTTGAGTCAATGGATGAGGTAATGGAGGCATTTCCTTAAATGTAAGACTCCTTGGATCAAATTCCAAAACACTGGACAAAACTTTGCCATCTTTTCCCTCTCCTCCAAAAATAAGAACTTTATCATCAACAACAACAGCTCCATGGTCATAACGTGGTTCAGGCATATGACACAACTCTTTCAAAACATTAGATGTTGTACCTGTAATTTTTATTTCACTGATCAAATCTGATCTTCCTTTACCAACAATGTATCCTCCAATGTGAAAGATTTGTTGTTTATAAACAACAGTTTGATGACCACTACATTCATAAGGAAGCTTTGTGGGAAATATCTTCCATGTTAAAGGAAAATGTTTTATATTCAATGTCTCCATTGACTTGCAGTCCATTCCTCCAACAACAAATAAATTATCATTATAAATAAATGATGAAGCCCAGTAGTGTTCATTTTCCATTGATGCTATGTTAAACCATTTCTCCTCCTTCCATGAAAATATTTCAACACTCTTTAAGGAACCACGTAAGTTACCTCCAGCAACCAAAATATCACCTTTTACAGAGTTCATCACCAGTTGAAATGTTGATGTCAATGTTTGAACATGTTGTACATTTATATTCATCTTTTCCAACATTTGAAACATCATGGCTTTCATTTCTTTCATTTCTTTGGTCACTGTAGAAAGATTTTGTTGAACATCTTTTCTTTCTTTCCTTGATTCCATCATTTCTTTGGTCACAGTAGAAAGATTTTGTTGAACATCTTTTATTTCTTTCCTTGATTCCATCATTTCTTTGGTCACTGTAGAAAGATTTTGTTCAACATTTTCTACTACAGATTCCATCATTTCTTTATACTGAGATGTCAATGGTTTCACGGAATCTTTTACTTCAAAAAATTTTTCGTCTATTTTCCTGCTTAAGTTGTTCATTTGCATTTCCATTTTGTCTTCAAAACTTCGTTGAAACATTTCGCTAATCTCTCGAAAGTCGTGAGAAGCAATCTTTCTGTATTCACATAATTCAGTTTCATGTTTAATCTTGTCTCGTTTGTTTATTTCCAGACCACAACGTTCATTAGAACACAACACTGGAGCAAAGCCACAATTTTCAACATGTCTTTCAAGATCTTCGACATTTATAAATTCAGGACAACCACGACTGGCGTAGTCGCAGTTGATCTTTAACTTTGAAATCATATTATTTATAACACGCGCTGGATGAAGCGTAGCTACAGTTAAATCATCTTGACATTGAGGACATCTTTGTGCATTAACTCGTAGATGTTCTTCAATACATTCACGACAAAACTGTGTTGATTATGGCACATTCTGGCATCTTTCATGACATTCAGACAAATTGAACAGTAAAAGTTTTCATCAACAACAGTCTTAAATCTCGATTCTTCATATCCACTTTCGTAAACATTAGGACGACAAGCCATTTCATACGTCTTCCTATACAATTTAATGCAAAATTAATACAGGAGTTGACGAAATTTTGTTTATCACTAAAAGTTCAAGCTAAAAGATAGGTTAAAATTTTCAATCGACGTTTGATAAACACGGAAGCTGAAAGCAAAGCAAAACAACGCCTAGTTTTATATTTTAACATACTTATGTTAAGCAAAACAAAGACAAAAGATAAAACAAAATAATGCAATGAAGCACATCAACAAAAAAAGACACAACTGAGGTCAAAGTTGCTAAGGTCAAAGAAGTGGAGCTTTAGTCAATCACATAAGGCAGTTCGTTCTTGGTGAAAAACATCCTAATTAAAGGTTATTTGTTGTAGTAAAATTACGTCTTTTCTTATAATGCAGAATTAACGTTAATCCAAGACGATTGTTACGTTTTCAGTTCAAAACTACATTTGTTTAGTCTGAATCACTGGTTGAAATTCTGAAACTCGTTTGTTTTGGGTGGCACCCTAAGTTCATTGCATTTGTTTCTTTGACTGTCAATATTTCTGATCATTTTAGATACGATGATCATATATTTATAACACAAGGAAACATGTTTCAAGACACAAGTAAAACATATTTCACAAAGACTGTTGAATCCGATTTGCAAATTAAAAGTTTAGACATCTTTTGTTACTATGTTTTAACAAATAAATTATTGATAACATTCAAAATGCTAAATGGAACTGACAAAAGGTTGCAAGAGTGGGAAAAATGACCATGTTAAGAATACCTTAGGTGATGAGAGATTCCTTTCTTCGCAGTTAGCCTGCAGTTGGCCACTTATCGTCGATTTCAGTTAACTTTTCAAATGGTGGTTGCCAAGTTACTTTCTAATGTTGCCAACTATATTTCCAAATATGGAATATTCGTTATGAACTTGTCAACTTGAGTTGACAAGTTGTGTACTTGAGTACTGAAGTTGTGTACTTGAGTACTGAAGTTGTGAACTTGAGTAATGAAGTTGTGAACTTGAGTACTGAAGTTGTGAACTTGAGTACTGAAGTTGTGAACTTGAGTACTGAAGTTGTGAACCAAAGTTGCGAAGTACTGGCAAACGCGAAAGGTCTGCGGGAGTTTCTATTTCTGCGGGAATTTTATTTTTGAAGAACTGGCGCAAAATTCTAATATCGCGAAGAAGTTTTGGTCTGTTCATTTTATATTCAGCATTAATTTTCATCATCTGGGGGTTAATGCTTTTATAAATTGGTGCTCACTCTGGCTTTGAAAATTATTAATACCATTTAATTCTTCTTGGAGTTGCTTAATAGTCTCGTTTTTGTTTTATCTTAAACTTCAATCGATTTATGTCCGCAGAATATTCGGGATGTTTGTCTTTAAGTCCACAATAAGTAAACGCGGAACATTTTTCAAGAATACACGGTTTAGTTTGTGTGTTTCTGTGACCTCGGTGGTGGCAGTTGCTGCAGATGACTTTGTAATTAGCAATCATTGGTAATTCAGGAACATTTAAATTCATTGATTCTAATTGCACGTTCATCTCTTCCAAATCTTGTTTGTTGTGATGAATTGAGTCTTCGATTGTCCTTCGCCGATTTTACAATGAACGTTTAGCGGGTATACTTGTATCCTATTTCAGATAGTTAAACGCAACATTATAAATTTATACATTTATTTTTATTGTGACTACAAAAACAATGACGCACGACAGTATTCAGTTTTAAGAAATATGTCACTTTACGACCTACCTCGTACGAAGCAGATGGATTTTCATCCACGTCAAGACAGCTTTTTGATTGAGATTTTGAAAGTTTTAATAACGGTGTCTGCTCCCGCAGCAAATCGAGATGAAATTCTAAAACTTTCCTTGCCCCAAGAGGCAAGTTCGTATTCTTTTAAAGATGACCAAGATTTTCATTACTTAACAATTTCAGCGACAGTCGTGGAGAAAATTCATTTTCTTTCAAAGCTTTTTCTATTACTTCATGACTTTGTTTCCCAATTTTATCCTTAAAGAAACTCCTCTAATTCATCTGCCATTATCAGTGAACAATTTATTTAGCTTTTACTAGCCTACAACACAGACTTTTCGCGTTTGCCAGTACTTCGCAACTTTAGTTCACAACTTCAGTACTCAAGTTCACAACTTCAGTACTCAAGTTCACAACCTCAGTACTCAAGTTACACAACTTGTCAATTCAAGTTGACAAGTTCATAACGAATATTCCATATTTGGAAATGTAGTTGGCAACATTAGAAAGTAACTTGGCAACCGCCATTTGAAAAGTTAACTGTAATCGACGATAATTAGACTTTCTTTTCTGCAAGTTTCTTCCTTTGTCCCAGACCACAAGTAGTGAATCTTTAAAATAGTTTAGGCAGTAACTAATGGGTTCTATTGAATTACAGGTCAGTGGCAGGAACTAGAGGCCGTAGCCACCCCAGTGCACTACACCTCCATGTGCCCATACATCCATAAGGTCTCCATGTTATTAACTGTCACTGAATCACGTGTTTGTTTCTTTGTACTTCGATGTCTCAGTTACCTGCATTGGCAAAGTTAAGGTAGGTAGGCTCTATATTTGTGCTTTTTGTGTTGTACAAAATGTTAACGTTTGTTCAATTGCCTATAATATCAACAGTGCGAGTTTGTTTTTCTTTAATGTGCACCTCCCCCACCTTCCTTTAAACTTTCTGGTTGGGAATTACTACCCTATTCCTCGACCTTGGTTAATTTACTGAAACCTCGATATGTCTTCATTTTATGGAAACAAATTTGGTACACCGATGTCATTTCTACGTGTTATAACTCTCAAACAATGAACATGCTCACGTAAACATGCATAATTACAAAATCATATAGTTACATACTAGATACCTTCTTTAAATCAGAAAAGAACGGATACAGACGATTTCGTCACATTAATTATTATACATTGTATATTCGTACTTTATCCTTAAAATATTCATCAAATGTGCGGATAAAATTGTCATAAGGTCAAATTTTCTATTACTGGGGAGTGAGAATGAGTTTTGCTGATGAAATATTTGTTAAAAGACAGCAACTGAAGCACTTCTCGACTGTTTAACTCATACTGATGGCACAAAGGTATTAGTTTTAATTTGTATGAATGTACTTGGTAGTGTGTTTGATTAATAAAAGTAGATTTAAACCTTTTGCTTCTTTGTTCAGGTTTTAACAAGCAACTTGACTTGTGGGGACAAAGTCTGTGTAGTAATTGGTAAAGTTAATGGTTATTGCATAGATACAAGTATTGACGACAAGATATATCATGTAGCAGACAACTTGTACATTTCTTCACAAGGTGGAGCTTGTAATCTTGAACATTTAAGGCTGCAAAAAATTACTCATATTGTTAATGTTGCCACAGGAATTGTAAATCAATTTCCAAATGTGAGTATAACTTAGATGGTGGATTTCAAATTTTAGCCTAGGCTCTTGTGTTTATGTCAAATTTTGATTTTTTCTCTCAGGAGTTTCAGTACAAAATGGTAGAAATTTTGGATTTACCTGACACAAGAATAGATCAGAATTTTGCTGAGCTGTCCTCATTCATTGAAAAGGGACTGGAGGATGGAAAGGTTTTGGTTCATTGGTAAGTGTAAAAGGGCGATGGCCGTTAATATTCTAAATGTGTGTATTGTGAAGGTTATTATGGTAAGATTTTAGGTTTTCATTTGAATGAATTAAACTTTGAATATTTTTATTAGTACATGTTGATGTTTTAACATACTTAGCAATAATTATTTACTTTGAACTTGGCTTGAAATATGACTACATCTGAGGATGTGAAAACATCAGTCAACATCAACTGAATTAACCTGAATGATCAACACATACAAACATGTAGGTTTTGCTACAGGCTTGTCAACACAATTTATGTTCTTATGGAGGATATTAATTTGATTACAAAAAACCAAATGCTGAATCAGCATGTTCACTGTTAACTTGTTGAAATGTTAATTGAAGGCTGTGTTTCACATTTGAGGCATACGTAGCAGCAAAAATTTTGTAGCCAATGAAATGATTTTCCTTTAAATGTCCAGCAAAGCAGGAGTGTCCAGGTCTTCGACTGTTGTCATTGCTTACCTTATGAAATCTAACAATATTGGGTTAGATGATGCATTTCATTTGGTAAAGAAAGCATGACCAACAGCAAAGCCTAATGAAGGTTTTTGGAGGCAACTGAAGGAAAATCATTTATTATTAAGTCAATCAAACACTCCAAGTGATGGAAGAACAAACAAATAATGGTAAACCATTCTTATATGATGGTTGAATATGCACATGAGCAGAGTGAAAGCACCAAAATTAATGGCGAACCATTCCTGTATGGTGCTACAACATGCACATGAGCCATGTGAAATGAAGAACAAAATATAATGGTGAACCATTCATGTATGGTGCTACAACATGCACTTGAGCCATGTGAAATGAAGAACAAAATATAATGGTGAACCATTCCTGTATGGTGCTACAACATGCACTTGAAATGAAGAACAAAATATAATGGTGAACAATTCCTTAATGGTAATAGAATACAAAGCTAAACTAAACAATGTAACACAATAAGGTTATTGTATATAATGTTTAATGTTTCCTGAAATCCAATAGTCATTGAAATTGCTGTTTTTATATACTTAGTAAACTCAACTTATAACATAACCCTCCCTTGGCTAACTTTATTTTTAGAATTGGGTAGAAAAGATACAAGGTGAATATGAAAACCATAATAGTCTTTGACATAATGATCTATTTAAGTTCTAATATTTTATCTTTATAAATCTTCAGCTGGAGAGCACAATCTGATTGCTTTCTTTGGCAAATGTTATCACCTGTCATGATTAATCTGTATAAAAATTTCCATTGTTGGGTCAATGGATTTTGCAATTTGCATGCAGGTTGTGTTTCCGAGGGAGGTGATAAAGAAGTGTTTCCATGGCAACTTTCCAGCATTATTGATGTGTCCAACAATTGATATAGGTAAGAAAGTTCTATGTGAGACAACATTAACTTTCTTGTTTAAATTCATCCCTGATGTTTGCGTTGGTGTTTTTATATTTTTGTGATACCTGTCCACATCAAACTTATCATCACACACCATAAACAGTTCAATGTTCTTTGTTTATATAGAGCCCCTCCAATGCGATTCAATGTTTCTATGGTAACTGCTATGCAGAATCTGTTCAAGTTTTGAGGGAATCAGGAAAAGTAACAGGTCTTCTGTTTAAACTTGTGGGAGAAGGTATGGATGACACTAACACTCAGTATGACCTCACCCTCTTTAACTCAACTTAATCTCACCTCCTTTACTCAACATTGTCCCACCCCTTCACTCAACGTTGCTCATTACCTCATCTCCTTTACTCAATATCACCTCGCTCTTGCATAGTCATTATTTAATTTCCATCACGTTGTTCAGTGAATATATTTCAGTACTTTTCATTTAAACATTTTTCATCACCTTTTCCCATTTCTATACGTTAAAAATTTCTTCCTTCAGGAAACAGCTTCGGTACATTACCAGACCTGAATAAAAAAGTTGTTGAAAGAACGGTTTCATTTGGAGACACGTGTCAGGTACGTAGACTTAATGATTTTGCAACAAATGTTTCTTCTTTTATTCCAATAGTATAGATCTGTTGTAGGTAGGTAAATAAATATACTGAACTGACGTGTTTTGGGGAGTGTGCTAGAATAGGCCACCACAACCTGGAACGACAAAGATAACGAGATATATATATATTTTACATGTTTGCAAATGTCGATCGTCCAGGTTAGTATAGTCCTGAAAACTGTTTTGTTGTTGTTGACTGACGTTTCGACAATCTTAGCGGTAGTCATCTTCAGAGTAATTTTGACAACCTTAGCGGTAGTCATCTTCAGAGCCATTTTGACTCTGAAAATGACTACCGCAAAGGTTGTCGAAACGTCAGTCAACAACAACAAAAACAGTCCTTCTCAGGACCATACCAACTTGGACGATCGACGTTTACAAACATGTAACGATACTCCTGGGTTCAAACCATTTACTTTATATATATATTTTATTCGTTATCGCCCTCCTCTCTTCTGCCACCCGTGAAAGATCCCCTTCATTTTATAATAGACATTTTTTTAAAGTTCTCTTTGTCTGTTTTCTTTGAAAAACACTATTATTGCAAGTGGAACCAGGAAGACTGGGGTCTAAACTTTTATAGCTACTGAAAAGAATATTTTGTACAAAATTTTCCATTTCAGGATGTCATGACGTGTTTTGGTTCACCTTGTAAAGTATTTTATAAAGCTGAAGATAAGGTGAATGTTTAGCAAAAGTTTCAGTAGAGGATTTGACTTAAGAAGCGTTTTTAGTTAGCATTCAAGCAGTTCATTTAGTTGCAAGACGTCTATCAGACGTCTATATTTTGCTATTGTAGAAAAATGCGAATTTTAATCTCGGACGTACAATCGGTTGTCCATACCTTCTCGTATTATTTTGTTTATTTGACTATAACTCTGTTTCCAATATCGCTGTTTTTTATTACAACGTCTTACCTTATTACAACTGATTAATAATTTTAATGTTTTTTATGTGCATTACAGCAATATCTTCTTCTCCATCTTTTCTCTAGATGCGTATCCATTCTCCTATACATACAAACTTAATTAATCAAATAGATCCTTCTATTTCTTCAACTAATTTTACACTTGGCGTGGTAAGTCATGAATTTTATTCTTTGGCTTTTTCTACCTATTCTGTAGTGTTGTGTTGATAAAGTTATGCCTGATTGCAGGCTATATGCATAAGCTCGGGAAACAGGGATAAAAACAAGGCATGAATTGAGCCCCGAGGTGCAAAAAGTGAAGAGCGTATTTTTTGTACAATGTCTTTTGTTTAATAAATATTTGTTATAACAACGGGAGTTTGGTGTTCTGTAACAATTCGGAACAGAGTACATTTTTCTTGATTTCTTTCATTCTTAATTACCTATCTATTATTTGAGACAATAGTCTTCTTCATTCCCATAATTCCATGCATCATAAATAAAAAGGAACATAACAGCAAAAGAAATCATATTTTCCTGATTATTGGCGTAGATAAAACAAAATGGGCAGAATTGTATCAGGAGCTTGGACTTTATTATTGGTAGCTTCTTTTCTTCATGAAAGCAGTGCACTTTCTGCTCAGACATGCAAAAATATTACATCCTTTAAAGAAAAGTGTTAGAATCCTGATTTTATATTTGTCAAAAATCAAATTGTTCTTAAGGGCGAACTCGATGTGAAATTCAAGACTAGTGGACAAAATTTCTCTTGGTATTGTGGAAGCTCGAGAAGAGAAGTGGTTTTGGACAAACCGGCAAATAAAGCACGAGTGTATTATCGAAAAAATGAAGACGTAGAAATATTCATTGAAGATTGTCCCCAGGTTAAGTCTAAAAAATTCAGTGTTACAGCTGGTAAAAGTGTTTGTTACGGCGAAAGTTTTTCCTATGCGTGTCCTGGGATAGAAGGAAAAAGTCATCCTTGCAGTTATGAACTAATGATTAACAAAAAAACAACTAAAGTATCTCAGGTATCTGTCGGATTGACCCTGAAAATCGTAGCAAATTTCAAAATATCTTTTTCTGCATCAAGGACACAAAAAATCGTACACACTTATGAGTACCAAGAGAAATGGTACTTTGTCGTACCTGCTGGATATACGTTTTGCTCATATAGAAAAGCCACAATTAGTTTTGGAAATCAGTCATACTACTGTTCTGGAACACACTTCAAATTTGTTAAGTTTGGTACTATTTGCTCGGGGAATAGATTATGTAATAAAAAAGAAAGGTCATGTTTCCATGACGAACACAACATCAGTAACAGGCCAAATTTTCATTTCGCTTTCTGTTTTATCATACTCTGTGTTTTTCTTTTCATCTAATGTAAAACGTTCATTGCCAACACCCACTCATTTATTAACAGCTAATGTGTAGTCTCTAGTATCTTAAATATAAATGGACAATATAATGTTTCTGTGAAGAAATAAAAGCTTAGTTTCATGTATAAACACGAGACGTATTGTGTAAACTTACTTGTCACTTTTAGAGTTGCATGTGAAAAAGAATACAGTTTTTAGTCTGTTACGAGTACTGTATGCTGTTTTGTTTGTGATGAAATAATACAATGTTTGGTATTTTAGGACAAGTCTTTCATTACCTAAACACAACCAGTGGTGTCTAAACTAGATTCCATCCTTCAAGATCATTGGCATATCCAAGTTTGCAAGTTTTTTTCCAGCTTTCCACTACATCAATATATCATTCCATTTCTTGAAATGTTGTTTTTTACCTTGTTCAGAATGTACGCCAAATGAAATTTAAAGAATTTCTAAGTGAGTACAATGCTTAGTCAAACAACCTGGCTGAAAAAGCTGATATGCAATAACATTTGCAAATCTTGCTGTTTTTGAGAAATTCTGTTACACCATTGATGTCTCTATAAACTTGTGGCACTGTTTCACTACCTTTAAAATAATTAACTAATAGGTGACTAAAATATAGAATGCAAACAGATAGCATATTATGTATATACTTAACATTTATATCATCACATATTTGTAAAAAGAGTTTCATTGGGACAATAATCTCATTGTTCTATGTAACTTGTGGTTCCTGGCAGATTTTCAGAAGTGTATACCTTTTAGACTTTTATCATAGAATTTTATGATTGAAGGCTAAAAAAAATTGCAAAGTAATCTTCACATTGTAACTCAACCAATACCTTCAATACTCAGTAACATAAGACCCTCGCTGGCCTTTCCGTCGTCTTCGTGAAAACAGCTAATTACATTATTTTGCATGGAAATTTCAGCGAATACATAATTAATTTATGTGCGTTCCGTTTTTTGGGACACCTGTAGATGGACCTCTTGTGGTATCAGTTACTCTTCCTATGATAGAATTTTGTTCTTTTTATAGGCAACGCAGGAAATGTTGATTAAGCCATTACTGCGCAGGTGCGTACGTACGTAGACGATCCTTTAAGTCTGTGAATGTGACATATTTGAACGAGCTCATTGATTTGTTCTCTGACGTACAGAGAATTTGTTCCTGAAATTGAAATTTGTTTTAATAATTGTAAAACACTTTACTGTCTCCGAGATCTTGTATTTTTAACAAAGACTACGTACGATGTGTTGATCTTTGCTAGGTGACAGCGTACATAACAGAGCTTCAAGCATCAGGATCAGTGACTGACAACATGTCTGTTAAGTCAAGTTTAGAATGAACTGTTATAATTTGTGTTTGTCAACAACCATATGTGATGTTTTGTCTTCCAGAGTGACGGACGCTGAAGGAGGGAGAAAGTCACTATCTTACGTACGTATATTGATAATTTTATATTTGATAAAGAATGAGTAACACAACGAGTTACGACACCACGTAAATTGATCGAAATGATTTGACAAACCTCTCCCCCCAACCCTCTCCCGTAGAAAATTTAGTCAATTGACCAGAACTATTTTCCAAAATATATAACCGTTCATTGCTAAGAAGTGTTGTTTTATTTGTTTATAAAACACAGAGTTTTATTTTTTTACTTTTAGATTGCCTTTGTCAAATCTCTCTTGTAAAATCAATAGCTCAGGTAGGATAATTGTCAGTTGTGGTTTACCATGCCTCAAAAGCAAGAGTAAAACTGTGTTCATTATCTTTTTTATTAAGTTATCACACAGGAAAGACACCATAGCAAACAGCTATCTCCAAGTAATGGTTAAAATACAGAAATCTAAATAACGATCTGTTGTCATAGTTGCGTTTTTAGCTAAAAGTACACTATAAAGATTATGAAGTAGTTGAAGATATTAAGTCAATAATTAAATTAGTAAAGCCTGCTCCCCAGTCACCCCATAACCCGCGCATACTTGTTCTTGATATCCCAATTGCAAAAATTCTTCTTCATACTTTATGTAAATATCGTAATATCAGAGAAGTAAGCATGGATCAAATAGAAAGTTTTATTTATAGATTTTGAAATATGAGCCAGCAAAACTTCTACTACAATCTGTGTCGTTATTTTGCTATGAAGCTTTACAAAAACTTCGCCCGTGAATTGTTCGTGTTGAAAGTATGAGAGCTCCAAAACCTGGGGAGAGGTTTGTCATTCATGTTACGTAAAGTCTTGTTCTTATCCAAAACTCACATAGCCACAATCACCCTCACCACCATTATCTTTATCACACCTTAACCCTCACCATCATTTTTTATCCCAAACCATCATCACCGTAATCCCCCAATCACCCTCACCACGTCCTTTATCCACATTACTCATTTTCATTATCCGTTCCTACTTAGAGCGATACCATGACTGGATCACCGCTGACCAATGATGTTGCGCCCTTGGACAACAATGCTCCAAAGGGCATCATACTATTAACAGGTGGTAAGGTTAGTGATTTCATTTTAGTGGCTACCTTTTTGATTCCTAGTATAAATTGTGTTTTATTTAAGAAATAAAAGATGTTTACTGTGCTTGCACAGGCTTATGCAAACCGAAGATTCGTTTGGGAGAACTTGAGAGCAGATCAGTGCAAGCCCGAGACCGAAGATCGAGAGTTGCACATGCTCGAGAGTTCTTACAAACGTCTTCTAGGTTTGCACAAGTCAGTGTAAACACGGAAAATATCTTTTATTTCTTTTATAAAATAACAATATTGCGAAACAGACGAACATTTTAATTTTTCCTCTAAAATGTATTCATGATCTATTTGCAAATTCTCATTGACTGGTTGATTGTTATGATTGATTTGATTGGTAGAGCTTAGACGTGTTTTGCACAGGCTAATGCAAACACAGCTCTAGACCAATCAGCGCACGTGTTTCATTGTGTTTATTTTATAATGTTTGATGAAAGACCGCCGTTGTATGAAAGAAGAACAAAGACTCTCATATACACGGGAATTCTAAAATTTTAGACACCGTACCTAATCATTGGAGCATATAAGTACTAGATATTTCTTCATACCAACCTACATGGATTTTGAATTTTTGAAATATTTTAGATGACTAACTGCTAGTGATTTGGTCAACTACCTACAAATTAGTAAGGGTAGAGCATGATCATGTGTGCTCTATGGGATTGAGAGACCCTCGCATTAGATAAAATTTTACTTACTCGGGCACCGTTTTAGAACAATGCATGGCCAAAGCCAAAAGGGATTACTTATGGTACTGAATTTAAGATGCTGTATTCTTATACAAGTATCTTTAGTTTACAGCTGATGATTGTTTTCAACGAGTATTTGAGATGTGTTCCATGTAAAGGCAGGTTTTAGTTCAAAACCTCTCGAAAGTTATAAGCCAGGGGGACATTGGATTGGTATAACTCACAACCTGTTAATTTTAACACGTTCTATAAATATTTACCAGCAATGTGCGAGGTAGATTACATTGACATGAAAGGTTGAGGATTTTCAAATGATTTTCGAAAGGTTACGTGCCCAACAACCCTCTAAGAAAGGAACATTTTCATTGATGAACAAACAATAATGTCTCGGACTGATTATCGAAGCACATCATTGTTAGATGATGCAAAAGGCCAAGTTCTACTCTGGTTATGTCAGTTTGAAAAGCACTTCAACAACCTGCTCCAGTGGATGTTTCAAGTCCAAAGAAAATTGAGGTAGATAAGAAGAAAGAAGCATGTGTTAGTACGACAAATACACGACGTACTTTAAAAGTTATTGAACATGGAAAACATGTATGTTGTTTTATTTTATGTAATAAACATGTGTTTGTTTTTAACTTTGTGAGCAATTATTAGTTTTTCCAATTTTTTCGTAAGAGATATTTTAATTTTAACATGAATATATTTACATCATCGAGATGCGTTAGAAACGCGTTAAATTTCATCACCTTGTTAGTTATTCAGAGATGAAATGTAATGTGGAGTTACGACAGTCATTAGTATCCTTTAACCTCATTAATATTTTCTATTTAGAGGATACTAATAAGGAAGTGAACAATAAAAAAACAATATCTTGTTAGTATTCTCTATATATGGATTAAAAATGAGATTTAGTGAATACCATTAAGCTTTAATTGTATTCCATTGTTTTCACTCCATCTCGGCATTTTCCTTGAGCTTTAAAGCTTACATCACTTCTTGAACTTTAGCCACTATGCCATATGGAACATCAAAATACTGGACGCTGATTGGCCGAGTGACTTTGGCTGTGTTCTAATTCTAGATATCTGTAGATATGACGTCATTACTACGAAAAATTTTTTCTACCATTATTGACTGACGCCATTAAAAGCCGAATTTGAAAAAAATCAAATAAAGTGATGTTTACCACAGTTTCTAAAAACAATAAGCGAAAGATTTCGAACAAAATTGATGCAGAAAACACTAAAAAAGCGACGAAGCTGGTTTCGAACATATTTACAGCATATTTAAACAAGAAGAACTCGAAAAAACCGTTTGACAATTACAACTAAGGGCAGGTTTCGAAATGTTTTACATTGATGAGTGTAAATAATATTTCAGTTTGTTGAGGTGAATGATAAAACAATTATTCAATTCGTTTTTCGCATGATATCAACAATTATTCATACCTCTGTCAACGTTATCCGTCCCAGCTTTGCTTCGGCAGATGACATTGACCTCGGTCTGAATAATTCTAGATATCATGCTCAACTTCATCTAATAACTGCTCATTATTTAAATATTAACTTGCTAAACTGAGGGACATTTTGCTGGTATATTTGTGTGTTATAATCTTTTCGTCCGAGGAATATTTAATTTCACTGTGTAGCACAAATCACTGTGACTGTCCCACTATCTTATAATGGTTTAAATGACAGAAAAATTACAGTCCATTGAAATGAAAAATATCAAATTCAGCCAAAACGCAAAACAAAATAATGAAAGCCAAAATGTACTTTTTTGCCGTACAAAAACCAGGTTACAAACCCTAAACATGGCGACTGTATTATTGATGACGTCACGTTCATATCAAGAATACAAAGTTGCCAAACATAAAATGTCTTCCTTATTTTATTGTCTAAGCGGAAACTGGAAAGGTGGCAAAATTTTCAATCTGAAGTTGCATTAACAATTTGTCATATGTCATTTTAGCCAGTAAATAGCAAGAAATTTATCACGTGCTTTCGTACGAGTATACACGTCGTAGATGGTCAAAGTACAGTACACCAACAGCTAATGGTGCAGTTTCCTCATTCTTGTAATTTTACCATGCATATAAAGTATGTCACGTTTTAAATTTTGTTGCGTATAATAATAATGGCAGTACTAACGAAAATTGATATCCAAGTGATTGAATGTTGGTGTTATTAGGGTAAACCTACCACTAGGGTGCCCTCTAGCGCGCATGTGTGAACGCTACTTATACAACATATTTACGTAGGGTGACTCGCTTTCTAGGATAACCCTTCTGCTGGGGTTACCGTACCTCCATGTAAATAGTCTCTAAGCAAATTGCTTTTGTATATTTCATGGGAAATAGTCCAAACAAATTCAACGCATAATTTAATAATGATGTGAGCAAAGCCATGTAATATATTTGAAAAATGCCATTTATATAAATAACATGTAAATATATAATTCTTAATTGGTGACCAAAGTTTGTTATAGACGTGTGCTGTATATAGTATTTTATGATACAACTTGCAATATACAGTATATATATCATTAAAGTGAATCAGTGGAGAAATAATTTCTCAACAGGCTTTAAAGGTTTACACATTTAGCTTTACATATTTATCATCCAGTGTAAGCTACAAGAATTTTTAGTAAGTTATAACGTTTGATGAACGTTTTCTTGCTTATACATACTTTTGTCCAAAAGGTAAAACTTCGGCTATGGACGCATATCGTGGTTCGTTCATTGAAGGAAGATATTTCCATGAAGAACTACATCCCATTTTGAAACACTCCACTGAATTAAGATAATTACCTTTATCATTCCAACCTCCCATGACAACAATTGTATCATCTGTTATAACTGCACAACACCCAAATCTCTTTTCCAACATGGATGGTAAGACTGTAATCTTACCTGTCTTAGTGTCATACATGATAACACAGTTCAAATTTTCTCTTCCATCCCAACCTCCAAGAAGAAAAACTTGATCTCTCCATTGAACTGTTGCCATGTCAGTTAATGGATGAGGTAATGGAGGCATTTCCTTAAATGTAAGAGTCCTTGGATCAAATTCCAAAACACTGGACAAAGCTTTCCTATATATTTCCTCTCCTCCAAAAATAAGAACTTTATCATCAACAACAACAGCTCCATGCCACGAACGTGGTTCAGGCATATGACACAACTCTTTCACAACATGAGATGTTGTACCAGCGATGTTTATTTCACTGATCAAATCTGATCTTCCTTTCCCACCAATGTATCCTCCAATGTGAAAGATTTGTTGTTTATAAACAACAGTTTGATGATAATGACATTCATAAGGAAGCTTTGTGGGAAATGTCTTCCATGTCAAAGGAAACTGTTTAAAATTCAATGTCTCCATTGACTTGCAGTCTTCTCCTCCAACAACAAATAAATTATCATTATAAATAAATGATGAAGCAAACTTGTGTTCATTTTCCATTGATGCAATGTTAAACCATTTCTCCTCCTTCCATGAAAATATTTCAACACTCCTTGAGGAACCAAGTGAGGAACCTCCAGCAATCAAAATATCACCTTTTAAAGAGTTCATCACCATTTCAATTGATGATGTCAATGTTGAACATGTTGTTCATTTATATTCATCTTTTCCAACATTTGAAACATCATGGCTTTCATTTCTTTCATTTCTTTGGTCACTGTAGAAAGATTTTGTTCAACATTTTCTACTACAGATTCCATCATTTCTTTGATGGAATCAAAGAAATGATGGAATCTGTAGTAGAAAACAATCGGAACAGACTTCAAATTTGTTAAGTTTGGTACTATTTGCTCGGGGAATAGATTATGTAATAAAAAAGAAAGGTCATGTTTCCATGACGAACACAACATCAGTAACACAAGTTTATCATACTCTGTGTTTTTCTTTTCATCTAATGTAAAACGTTCATTGCCAACACCCACTCATTTATTAACAGCTAATGTGTAGTTTCTAGTATCATAAATATAAATGGACAATATAATGTTTCTGTGAAGAAATGAAAGCTTAGTTTCATGTATAAACACGAGATGTATTTTGTAAACTTACTTTAATACGTCGCAAAATCCTTATGGCATTTTGCGTATAGTAACTATGAATATGTAGTTGATTAGCATTTATGTATGTGTGTGACAATAATAAAGTCATTAGTAAACTCAATTGTCAACTTTGTGCTTCTAGCTGCATGTGCTGTGTAAACGTCATATTTATTATGAAATATGCAAATTTTTCACTTTTAGTTTTTGCTAACTTGAATGAATTAAGTTCGTTATCTTAAATGAAAGATTTTTCAAATAAACTGCTAAGGTTATCCCCTACCTATACGAGTTCCACTTTTATTAAAAGATTCATTACAGGGAAATGATAGCAATTGCTGATAGCAATTCCATATTTGCAGTATAGTTAATTCAAATCACAAATTCGGATTTGACAAAGTCGATGTCATTTAAAGACATTAGAATTGTTCCACTAGACGAACAAAATGATACAAGATTCAACACTATGAATGCATTTAATTTTAAATCTTCACCATGCAGCAACTGTAAATTCTTCGAAGTAACATTTTATAAAAATTTTGGATATTTTGCTATCGATGTGTACACATGGTATGCAGCCAAATTGATCAGGTCCTAGTCTTTCTCCCGTATACTGTGTTATATAAATGTAGTTTTGATGGATGGAAACCATTATGAAAACGACTTGATTATGACCGCGCTAAATTTGAGAATTTAAGCGAGCAATGTTTTTGAAATATTTGTTACTTCACTTCAAATTTTGAATATCGGAGCAAAATTTTCTGCCTATGTTAAAGATATACAGATATATAGAGTTGTAGTGAATGTGAATGGCACCGAAAAGAAAGCGAGAAGTCCCAAAGAAGGTTGGCAGGCAGAGTCAAAGGAATTAAACTGCACATTTTGCCCTATTACGGTATTAAATACATCCATGTCGATTGATGAGCAAGAAAATAAATTGAACGATTATATAGAAGATTTTCTACTCAAAGGTAAATTTGTGAACGAAATTGTGTGTTATCATTGACTGTTCATGTAGTTATTAAGGATAAAAATATTAATAAAATTTGAAATCAGCTGTTGATTTAATTCAAAACTCCCATGTTGTTATTATTTTCAAAACCGTATTTTGTACCCCGAAGAAATTTTGGAGTACACCGTAAACTGAGGTGTATATCATCAAGATTATGTGTGCTTTGACCTAAAAAAAATTTACATGGTTTTGTGTACAAATAATGCACAAGAATTAAGTCGATACATTAAGTGTTGTTATGGATGAAGTAACCAATCATCCGCTGAAGATGTTTGTTATTTTAAGAAGTGTTGTTTTATTTGTTTATAAAACACAGAGTTTTATTTTTTTACTTTTAGATTGCCTTTGTCAAATCTCTCTTGTAAAATCAATAGCTCAGGTAGGATAATTGTCAGTTGTGGTTTACCATGCCTCAAAAGCAAGAGTAAAACTGTGTTCATTATCTTTTTTATTAAGTTATCACACAGGAAAGACACCATAGCAAACAGCTATCTCCAAGTAATGGTTAAAATACAGAAATCTAAATAACAATCTGTTGTCATAGTTGCGTTTTTAGCTAAAAGTACACTATAAAGATTATGAAGTAGTTGAAGATATTAAGTCAATTATTAAATTAGTAAAGCCTGCTCCCCAGTCACCCCATAACCCGCGCATACTTGTTCTTGATATCCCAATTGCAAAAATTCTTCTTCATACTTTATGTAAATATCGTAATATCAGAGAACGTAAGCATGGATAAAATAGAAAGTTTTATTTATAGATTTTGAAATATGAGCCAACAAAACTTCTACTACAATCTGTGTCGTTATTTCGCTATGAAGCTTTACAAAAACTTCGCTCGTGAATTGTTCGTGTTAAAAGTATGAGAGCTCCAAAACCTGGGGAGAGGTTTGTCATTCATATTACGTAAAGTCTTGTTCTTATCCAAAACTCACATAGCCACAATCACCCTCACCACCATTATCTTTATCACACATTAACCCTCACCATCATTTTTTATCCCAAACCGTCATTACCGTAATCCCTCAATCACCCTCACCACGTCCTTTATCCACATTACTCATTTTCATTATCCGTTCCTACTTAGAGTGATACCCATGACTGGATCACCGCTGACCAATGATGTTGCGCCCTTGGACAACAATGCTCCGAAGGGCATTATAGTATTAACAGGTGGTAAGGTTAGTGATTTCATTTTAGTGGCTACCTTTTTGATTCCTAGTTGAATTGTGTTTTATTTAAGAAATAAAAGATGTTTACTGTGCTTGCACAGGCTTACGCAAACCGAAGATTCGTTTGGGAGAACTTGAGAGCAGATCAGTGCAAGCCCGAGACCGAAGATCGAGAGTTGCACATGCTCGAGAGTTCTTACAAACGTCTTCTAGGTTTGCACAAGTCAGTGTAAACACGGAAAATATCTTTTATTTCTTTTATAAAATAACAATATTGCGAAACAGACGAACATTTTAATTTTCCTCTAAAATGTATTCATGATCTATTTGCAAATTCTCATTGACTGGTTGATTGTTATGATTGATTTGATTGGTAGAGCTTAGACGTGTTTTGCACAGGCTAATGCAAACACAGCTCTAGACCAATCAGCACACGTGTTTCATTGTGTTTATTTTATAATGTTTGATAAAAGACCGCCGTTGTATGACAGAAGTACAAAGACTCTCATACACACAGGAATTCTGAAATTTTAGACACCGAACCTAATCATTGGAGCATATAAGTACTAGACATTTCTTCATACCAACCTACATGAAATTTGAATTTTTGAAATATCTTAGATGAGTAACTGCTAGTGATTTGGTCAACTACCTGCAAATTAGTAAGGGTAGAGCATGATCATGTGTGCTCTATGGGATTGAGAGACCCTCGCATTAGATAAAATTTCACTCACTCGGGCACCGTCATAGAACAATGCATGGCCAAAGACAGAAGGGATTACTTATGGTACTCAATTTAAGATGCTGTATTCTTATACAAGTATCTTTAGTTTACAGCTGATGATTGTTTTCAACGAGTATTTGAGATGTGTTCCATGTAAAGGCAGGTTTTAGTTCAAAACCTCTCGAAAGTTATAAGCCAGGGGGACATTGGATTGGTATAACTCACAACCTGTTAATTTTAACACGTTCTATAAATATTTACAAGCAATGTGCGAGGTAGATTACATTGACATGAAAGGTTGAGGATTTTCAAATGATTTTGGAAAGGTTACGTGCCCAACAACCCTCTAAGAAAGGAACATTTTCATTGATGAACAAACAATAATGTCTCGGACTGATTATCGAAGCACATCATTGTTAGATGATGCAAAAGGCCAAGTTCTACTCTGGTTATGTCAGTTTTAAAGCACTTCAACAACCTGCTCCAGTGGATGTTTCAAGTCCAAAGAAAATTGAGGTAGATAAGAAGAAAGAAGCATGTGTTAGTACGACAAATACACGACGTACTTTAAAAGTTATTGAACATGGGAAAACACGTATGTTGTTTCATTTTATGTAATACACATGTGTTTGCTTTTAACTTTGTGAGCAATTATTAGTTTTTCCAATTTTTCGTAAGAGATATTTTAATTTTAACATGAATATATTTACATCATCGAGATGCGTTAGAAACGCGTTAAATTTCATCACCTTGTTAGTTATTCAGAGATGAAATGTAATGTGGAGTTACGACAGTCATTAGTATCCTTTAACCTCATTAATGTTTTCTATTTAGAGATACTAATAAGGAAGTGAACAATAAAAACAATATCTTGTTAGTATTCTCTATATATGGATTAAAATGAGATTTAGTGAATACCATTAAGCTTTAATTGTATTCCATTGTTTTCACTCTATCTCGGCATTTTCCTTGAGCTTTAAAGCTTACATCACTTCTTGAACTTTAGCCACTATGCCATATGGAACATCAAAATACTGGACGCTGATTGGCCGAGTGACTTTGGCTGTGTTCTAATTCTAGATATCTGTAGATATGACGTCATTACTACGAAAAATTTTTCTACCATTATTGACTGACGCCATTAAAAGCCGAATTTGAAAAAATCAAATAAAGTGATGTTTACCACAGTTTCTAAAACAATAAGCGAAAGATTTCGAACAAAATTGATGCAGAAAACACTAAAAAAGCGACGAAGCTGGTTTCGAACATATTTACAGCATATTTAAACAAGAAGAACTCGAAAAAACCGTTTGACAATTACAACTAAGGGCAGGTTTCGAAATGTTTTACATTGATGAGTGTAAATAATATTTCAGTTTGTTGAGGTGAATGATAAAACAATTATTCAATTCGTTTTCGCATGATATCAACAATTATTCATACCTCTGTCAACGTTATCCGTCCCAGCTTTGCTTCGGCAGATGACATTGACCTCGGTCTGAATAATTCTAGATATCATGCTCAACTTCATCTAATAACTGTTCATTATTTAAATATTAACTTGCTAAACTGAGGGACATTTTGCTGGTATATTTGTGTGTTATAATCTTTTCGTCCGAGGAATATTAAATTTCACTGTGTAGCACAAATCACTGTGACTGTCCCACTATCTTATAATGGTTTAAATGACAGAAAAATTACAGTCCATTGAAATGAAAAATATCAAATGTAGCCAAAACGCAAAACAAAATAATGAAAGCCAAAATGTACTTTTTTGCCGTACAAAAACCAGGTTACAAACCCTAAACATGGCGACTGTATTATTGATGACGTCACGTTCATATCAAGAATACAAAGTTCTCAGACATAAAATTTCCTCGTTATTTTGTTGTCTGAGAGGAAACTGGAAAGGTGGCAAAATTTTCAATCTGAAGGTGCAATAACAATTTGTCATATTTATGTCATTTTAGCCAGTAAATAGCAAGAAATTTATCACGTGCTTTCGTACGAGTATACACGTCGTAGGTGGTCAAAGTACAGTACACCAACAGCTAATGGTGCAGTTTCCTCATTCTTGTAATTTTACCATGCATATAAAGTATGTCACGTTTTAAATTTTGTTGCGTATAATAATAATGGCAGTACTAACGAAAATTGATATCCAGTTTGGTGTAGTCTTAAGAAGTGATTGAATGTTGGTGTTATTAGGGTAAACCTACCACTAGTAGGTGCCCTAGTGCATGTGTGAACGCTACTTATAAAACATATTTACGTAGGGTGACTCGCTTTCTAGGATAACCCTTCTGCTGGGGTTACCGTACCTCCATGTAAATAGTCTCTAAGCAAATTGCTTTTGTATATTTCATGGGAAATAGTCCAAACAAATTCAACGCATAATTTAATAATGATGTGAGCAAAGCCATGTAATATATTTGAAAAATGCCATTTATATAAATAACATGTAAATATATAATTCTTAATTGGTGACCAAAGTTTGTGATAGACATGTGCTGTATATAGTATTTTATGATACAACTTGCAATATACAGTATATATATCATTAAAGTGAATCAGTGGAGAAATAATTTCTCAACAGGCTTTAAAGGTTTACACATTTAACTTTACATATTTATCATCCAGTGTAAGCTACAAGAATTTTAGTAAGTTATAACGTTTGATGAACGTTTTCTTGCTTATACATACTTTTGTCCAAAAGGTAAAACTTCTATGGACATATCGTGGTTCGTTCATTGAAGGAAGATATTTCCATGAAGAACTACATCCCATTTTGAAACACTCCACTGAATTAAGATAATTACCTTTACCATTCCAACCTCCCATGACTACAATTGTATCATCTGTTATAACTGCACAACACCCAAATCTCTTTTCCAACATGGATGGTAAGACTGTAATCTTACCTGTCTTAGTGTCATACATGATAACACTGTTCAACATTTCTCTTCCATCAAAACCTCCAAGAAGAACAACTTGATCTCTCCATTGAACTGTTGCCATTTGAGTCAATGGATGAGGTAATGGAGGCATTTCCTTAAATACAAGAGTCCTTGGATCAAATTCCAAAACACTGGACAAAGCCTCCAAATCTTTTTCCCCTCCTCCAAAAATAAAAACTTTATCATCAACAACAACAGCTCCATGGTAATAACGTGGTTCAGGCATATGACACAACTCTTTAAAAACATGAGATGTTGTACCAGTAATTTTTATTTCACTGATCAAATCTAATGGTCCTTTACGAAAAATGTGTCCTCCAATGTGAAAGATTTGTTGTTTACAAACAACAGTTTGATGACCACCACAGTCATAAGGAAGCTTTGTGGGAAATGTCTTCCATGTCAAAGGAAACTGTTTTATATTCAATGTCTCCATTGACTTGCAGACCGCTCCTCCAACAACAAATAAATTGTCATTATAAATAAATGATGAAGCAGACATGTGTCCATTTTCCATTGATACAATGTTAAACCATTTCTCCTCCTTCCATGAAAATATTTCAACACTCTTTAAGAAAACACCTGAGTAACCTCCAGCAATCAAAATATCACCTTTTACAGAGTTCATGACCATTTCAATTGATGATGTCAATGTTTGAACATGTTGTTCATTTATATTCATCTTTTCCAACATTTGAAACATCATGGCTTTCATTTCTTTCATTTCTTTGGTCACTGTAGAAAGATTTTGTTGAACATCTTTTATTTCTTTCCTTGATTCCATCATTTCTTTGGTCACTGTAAAAAGATTTTGTTGAACATCTTTTATTTCTTTCCTTGATTCCATCATTTCTTTGGTCACTGTAGAAAGATTTTGTTGAACATCTTTTATTTCTTTCCTTGATTCCATCATTTCTTTGGTCACTGTAGAAAGATTTTGTTGAACATCTTTTATTTCTTTCCTTGATTCCATCATTTCTTTGGTCACTGTAGAAAGATTTTGTTGAACATCTTTTATTTCTTTCCTTGATTCCATCATTTCTTTGGTCACTGTAGAAAGATTTTGTTCAACATTTTCTACTACAGATTCCATCATTTCTTTATACTGAGATGTCAATGGTTTCACGGAATCTTTTACTTCAAAAAATTTTTCGTCTATTTTCCTGCTTAAGTTGTTCATTTGCATTTCCATTTTGTCTTCAAAACTTCGTTGAAACATTTCGCTAATCTCTCGAAAGTCGTGAGAAGCAATCTTTCTGTATTCACATAATTCAGTTTCATGTTTAATCTTGTCTCGTTTGTTTATTTCCAGACCACAACGTTCATTAGAACACAACACTGGAGCAAAGCCACAATTTTCAACATGTCTTTCAAGATATTCGACATTTATAAATTCAGGACAACCACGACTGGCGTAGTCGCAGTTGATCTTTAACTTTGAAATCAAGTTATTTACAAAACGCGCTGGAAGAAGTGTAGCTACAGTTAAATTATCTTGACATTGAGGACATCTTTGTGCATTAACTCGTAGATGTTCTTCAATACATTCACGACAAAAATTGTGTTGATTATGGCACATTCTGGCATCTTTCATGACATTCAGACAAATGGAACAGTAAAAATTTTCATCAACAGCAGTTTTAAATCTCGATTCTTCATATCCACTTTCGTAAACATTAGGACGACAAGCCATTTCATACGTCTTCTTCCTTTATGATTTAGTGTCAAAATTAATCCAAGAACAAACAAAATTATTTTTTTATTTCTACAATTAAAACCAAAAAGATACGTTGAAATTTGCAGTCGATGTTTGATCAATACGGAAGTTGAAAGCAAAGAACAATGTGTAGTTGTGTTTTATATAAGTAATTTAATACTGCAAAAAACTAGATCACGTGCATTATGAGCTGTCAATGAAATCAATATCATTTATCTCTACGTCAGGATTGGACAAACAATTTGATTTTCAATGAGTATTGACATCGTTTCTTTTCCACGTACCATTCCGTTTTTTCTGTCTTAACTACTGACAATACATAAAACTTGATAGCTCAATAGTCTGCTCGATATATCATACAAATACAAGTTTTGCAATCATAGTTTATATCTTGCTTGGGAGAATAATACAAGAATGCGACACAGAGTAGTTCTTCTATATAGTCCAGTTCTGTACACTTTACTCAAAGAACTTTGGTTAGATAAATATTTAAAAACACTGCGTACTTTTTTACGATTCTTAAATGCATTATTGGTCATATTTGCGTGATATGACCCAAGGTCATATTTATAATTTTACATTACAAGTAATACGACCTTGCACATCGTCTGTTACTGTTTGTATTACAAAAATTCCAAAAATCATCTCAAAGTATTCGCAAAAACAAGTAATTTACAACATCTTTGACAATGTGTGAAGCACTAGAATGTTTTGGCAATCATAGTATTACAAAGTAAGACCATGCTACTTAGATTACTTAGTGATTAAATGCACTCGAAAGCTCTGTAGGTTAGCTAAAGTCCTCTGGCGCTACAAGCCTTGTGACTTTTACTTCAAAGACTACCTCGGCTTTCGAGTATATTTGATCACTAAGTTACCTAACTACCATGCATCGTTTTACTTATAATAATATTTCCGACGCTAGCTAAAATTCAGATTACATTAACTACATACATGTATGGTGTTAGATGAGCCCATGCAATGACAAACAACATGAAACTTTGTGCAATGAATAAAATGAAGTAATTAGGGAGCCTGTGTGCGCAAGGATTAGTCATAAATACTTGCAATAGATGCAGGATAATGAAAAAATCATTATTGCATTGATATTATTTAGAGTAATACAAGAAACTTGATACATCTTGTTCGAGACCGTGTTTGCATTCAGTCTAGTTCAGACGCATTTTCATATTTTCTGGTCACAAAACAGAAAGAACGTTTCATTCTTTCAAGTTTTTATAATTACTGATAAGAACGGTGTGGATGGTAGTGAATGTGAGAATTTTCTGAATAATGGCTGTATCGCACCATCTGCCATCTAATTATAACTATTGTTTGTTAGTGACTTATTGCAAATCACAAACGCATGTTGCAAAAAGAACATCAACCCGGAAGTGACATTCACCAATCACAGCTCTTGAAAAGAGTCGCTGTATCGT